ATTACTAGTCCAACCACTGGGAGAGGACACAAGTCCAGTCTGAGTACACATATAAAGGGCAGTACAAAGTCAAGGCCTTAGCAAAAGAGAGGCTACAGGAACTAGACCAAGCTGTACACAGTGCCGCTGATGATCTTTAGGCGCAAGCGCCTTCGTAAAGATATCAGCGGTGTTGGCACCTGAGGCCAAGTGTACTACGCGAGCCTGACGTCGCTGCTGTAGCTCGCGTAGGAGGAAGTACCGCAGCTGGATATGCTTCGCTCTGCCCTCGAGTCGAGGCTCCTAACACAGGAGGATCATGGCCCTGTTGTCAGCGAACAGGACCGGGGCAGAGCTAGGCCGCTCACCTAATTCAGTGAGCAAGAAGGTCAGCCAGCGGAGCTCCTGTGCCGCCATGGCACCAGCGTAGATCTCGGCCTCACAGCTGGACTGGGCAACAGACGAGGAGCGGGTAGCTCTCCACGAGACGGCACCTGAACAAAGGCTGAAGCAGAAGCCCTGGGAAGACCTGAGTGTCTCGGCATCGTCTGCCCAAGAAGCGTCTGTGTGTCCAGTAAGGACCACTAGCCTACGTCCTCCTAGCACTAACCCCATGCCTGATGTACTAGCAAGATAACGCAAAACCCTCTTAGCGGCAGACCAGTGCTGCGGTCGGTGTGTGCCTGTGGCCACAAAGCGAGCCAGGATATGCGAGATCTGGGTGAGTGCAAGTCATCAGGTACATGAGGCAACCCACCAGCTCTGCGTAGGGGCCACTGGGCTCTACCGACTCTTCAGAAACTGGAGCAGAGAGTCTGTGGTCTACAGGAAGAGGGGTGGGCTGTGCGGAGGAGAACTGAAGGCTGAACCTCTGAAGGACCTGGCACACCAAGTGTGACTGAGTCAAGGTGATGGTGCGCGCTGCTCTGTCCCTGGAGATCTGCAAGCCAAGGTAACGGCGCAGTTCTCCAAGGTCAGTGCAGGTGTGTCTCTTCAGCAGCTCTGCCTTCACGGAGGCTAGTGCGTCCCTGTCTGCTGTGGCAAAGACCAGGTCGTCGACGTAAACAAGGATGTAGAACGGAGTCTGGCCAGCACGAACGAAGAGTGAGGGGTCTGCGGAAGACGGAATGAACTGCAGGTCTGCAAGGGTAGCACGCAGCGTGTCGTGCCACTCATGGGGAGCCTGGCGCAGGCCGTAGATGGGGCGCCGCAGGAGCCACTGGGTCCCAGGAGGGAAGGTGCCAGTAAAGCCCTGAGGGCGACGCAAGTAGACCTGCTCGTGTAGGCTGCCCTGAAGGAAGGCAGTGGAGAAGTCGAGGGAGTGAAGCTCGTAGTCACGCTGAGCAGCTAGGTGTAACAGAACCCGAAGAGTAGTCATCTTCGGGGTCGGAGCGAAGGTCTGGAAGAAGTCCACCCCCTCACGCTGACTGAAGCCTCTAGCCACGTAGCGCGCCTTGAATATAGGCGGCTCTCCAGGACGGCGCTTCACCTTGAAGAGCCAGCGGCCATCGACTACGTTCACCCCAGGCGGGGGAACTGCGTCGACGAAGGTGCCGGTGGATCTCCGAGATGCCATCTCCTGCTCCATGGCAGCTATCCACTGCGAGGCCCAAGGTCCCGAGGTCGCCTTAGCGTAAGTGCGAGGGGTCGGGATGTCGAAAGCGTCTGGGTCACCCTCAGGGACTAGCAGCATGGAACAGAGATGGAGAGCAGCCTCGGACAGGAAAGCAAGCTCGAACTGGCGGTCCTCCAGGACGTCATTGCCGAGGGCAGGAGCACCCCCGACAGACGGAGAACAGGCAGGGTCAGAGACCAGAGCGGTGGCGTAGTCAAGGCGGCGGGTAGAGGCGAAGTCAGCTACCGCAGCTACAAGAGTGTCAAGACACGAGACCGGAACAGACGGGTCGGTAACGAGAGAGGCAAGGACCCGAGGAACAAGAGTACGAGCGGCACGAAGGTAGTCAGGCATAGGGGGGGGTGCAACAACAAGGGAGGACGGAGGAGGCGACGGGAGAAGGGGAGGACGAGACGCGTGGGAACGAAGCAACATAAGGTGGGAGCGCAAGACAGGGGAGACAGGACGAGCACGGGAGGGACGGCGAGACCAGACGTGAGACGGAGGAGTCGGGTCAGGGGACAAAGGAGGGGACACAGGGGGGGAACGAGGGGGAAGACGAGCCGGGGACGAGTCCGGCAGAGGGAATACAGAGCCGTAGACGGGAAGAGGAGGAGACGGCCGGAGAGGAACAGACGCAGAGTCAGGGGACGGAAGGCCGAGCAGGCGAAGGGCTGACACCGGCGGGGACTGCTGCTGCGGCGGCACAACGCCGACACCGGGACCGCAAGCTGCTGCTCGGCTACCACCGGCACACTCCACGCCAGCACCCCCAGAGGGAACACCCCCAGGGCCCGAAACCCCTCGAGGACCGGTACCACCCCCAGGTCTAGGCGACTATCGCCTCCGGCGCAGCGAAAAGTACAGCGACGGAATTAATTGGGCTAGAAAAGGTACACTAGTCATAAGATTTTGTATTTTTAGCATGTATCGTGTACATTTATCCCCAAGTACCCATTGTACCATGGGACTTAGGAGTGAAGCATCCTTATGCTGTATGGTATTGTACGTTTTATCGAGTTGCTTATAGTGAGTCCACCACTTTGCTAGCGAGACTCGATGCGGACAATTAGCTCCCGATTCGAGTCTAGGTCTATTTTCTCTCGGCATTTCGCGATCTCGCAAACCTAACCTCCTAGTCTGTATCGACGGCATAACGTGAACCCCGCTAGGCTCATAGCAACGATGCGGCCTCTTGCTTCGCGCCAGAAAGATAGGATCGCGACTTTGCTTCGACGCGGTCATAGCTTCCGTCAGATCGCTAGAATGCTAGGGATAGGGAAGAGCACAGTTCAGAAATATGCTCAAGAGGCCTCTCAGCGCACCAGCAGCCTAGCGGTTTGGGCCAACAGTCCCGAGGTCTGGCCGACCGCGCCTGCTCTCAGTACGTGACAGGCGCATCCTTGTTCGCGCTGTGACTTCAGGCGAGGTGAAGACTAGCGTAGAAGCCGCAAAGCTACTGGAAACAGACCACGGCATTAAGATCTGCCCCAGATCAGTCCGCAACGCCCTGAAACTGTCTGGCCTAGTCGCCGTCCAGCAACCGAAGAAGCCACGTCTCTCCGCGCGTAACATCAGAGACAGACTGGATTTCGCCAAGGCCCACGTTGACTGGACCGTGGACGACTGGAAGCGGGTGGTCTGGTCTGATGAGACCAAGATCAACCGTTTCTGTAGTGACGGCCGGACGTATGCATGGATTCGCGAGGGGGCGGCTCTTCAAGGGCAACACATAAAACAAACAGTAAAGCATGGGGGTGGGGCAGTCATGATATGGGGGTGTATGACGTATGATGGCCCTGGATACATGTGTAAAATCGACGGTCGTATGGACGGGCAGCTGTATCGAAGCATCTTGCAGGATGAGCTTGCACAAACCATTGACTTTTATGACCTTAATACCTGTGATGTTATTTTCCAGCATGACAATGACCCCAAGCACAAGGCCCGCCTTGTGCAGGAGTGGTTGTCTGAGCAGGAATATTCAGTCCTGCTGTGGCCCTCTTCATCCCCAGATCTCAACCCCATCGAGCACTTGTGGGCCCATCTCAAACGCGAGCTGTCCAAGTATGAGCACCCCCCCTCAGGAATGCTCCAGACTTGGGAGCGGATTCAAGAGATCTGGGAGGGGATAGATGCTGATGTGTGCAGGGGGCTCATTGATAGTATGCCTAGGAGGGTGAAGGCGGTGGTTAGGGCTAAGGGAAAATGGACTAGGTACTGATTTCAAGTGTGTCTTTTGCATAGTTTGAACACGGCACAAACTGTCCGAGTGTACTTGTGTGTGTATGGATTTTGCCCAGGCACATTATACTGTATTTTCAGGGCTAGTTCCCACGTGACAGTCGTGTATAGGCATATGTCTAACTCTTCCTTAAAACCTGGCAATTAATAAGCTGCATCTCTAAACACTACACACGATTATTCGCCTACAGAGGTTGAGATATGGACAATTTCTTCCGTCGCTGTATTTAGAAATACTTGTGCAAATAGCCTCAAGGGCCTTGCCTCATAATCTGATCTCAAAGTGGTTGCAAGTTGTCAATACATACAAGCATTCCACTAGTTCCAATGAGATACAAAGCACACAAGAGTATACTGATTTATAGGCAAACAAGAAAGAACAAACGCGGTTCGTAACTGCCGTGTGCGCTGCGAGTAACTCGCGCGCTTCGTGTCATGCCGAGTCGCACACGCAATCGCGACTTTCTTGCTGAACACGCCACTGGCCCGAAGTCCGAATGCGTGTTGAACACGCCCCGTCCGAAACCCAACTTTTGCCCCACGTCAATCTGTTTCTCGCCACTTCCATTCCTTTCTTCCACTCAACCACCATTCTCCTTACTTTCCACCAATCTTTTCTCAACCTTCTCTACAGCTCCTCCCCTTTCCGTACACCTCACGCTCACGCAATATTCCCCATTTCCTAGTTCCTTCTCGTCCCAAGTCCGCACGTCTCTCCTCGTCACCCCAAGTCACGAGTAGTCCGTCGTGGGTGGCGGAACCACTCCAACACCAGGGCTACCGGGACTAGCACGCACTCCAATACCAGCACCCCCAGAGTCAACGAACGGGTGCTGCGACGGCGGCGGCAACAGCGACAACGACGGCTGCGGCGGAGGTGGCAACGGCTGCGACAGCAGGGGCGACGGCGGCGGCACAGGCGGTGGAGGAGGGGACGCCTGGGGAGGGGCAGCCGGCGAGGACTGCGCCGCAGGACCACCAGAGTCAGAAGACTCCTCAACCGGGACCACCGACGGAAGAGGGGTGACGTGGGACACACCAGAGGGGGCAGGACGAGGAGAAGGAGGGGGGGGGGCAGGGACCACCGGGGAAGGAGTGACCAGGAACAGGGGGGGGGTAACCGGGGGACCGCGGTGGGGGAAGCGACAGTAGAAGGAGGCGGACTCGTCAAAGGTGATGTCGCGAGAGTGAAAGAAGCGGTGAGACGGCGGGGGATAGAAGTGCCAGTCGGATGCGTCAAGGGGAAAACCGAGGAAGACGCAGTGAGCAGTGAGCTTGTCCGTGCCGGAGGCACGGACGTGAGCAAGGCAGCCCCAGACGTGGAACGCAGACGCGTCACCAGGAGACCCAGTCCAAAGACGGGTCGGCGAAACCTGCGGCTGCTGGGGGTGCAGCCACAGGTTAAGCTGGTGCGAAGCGTAGCGCACGGCGAACGGCCACAGAAAATGGGGTGCACCGGCATGGATCATGGAGGTGCGAGCCACCTCCATGACCAAACCGATGCGTCGCTCAGCGACCCCATTCTGCTGTGGGGAGTCCGGTAGGGTGAACGTCTGGGTGATGCCCTCCGCACGACAAAAGCGACCAAGGACACCTGAGGCAAACTCGCCACCACGGTCGGAGTGAAGACGCAAGACAGGGAGACCTTTGGTGGACACGGGCAGAGACAAGCCAGGGGATGAGAGCGTCAGGCATGTGGGCCTTCCGCTCCAGGGGAAAGACCGAGGTGTAGCGAGTGAAGTCGTCGACAAGCACTAGGAAGTAGCGCTCTCGACGCGGCCCATGGACGGGGGCGGGGCCCCAGACGTCCATGTGCAGGGTCTGCAGTGGCGCGGCGGTAGGGGGAAACGAGGAGGAGTGAGGGGCACGGCGAAGCCGACCCTCGACGCAAGGCGTGCAAGGTGGGGCTGGGGAGGAGGGAAACGCGGGGAGAGAACCAGGGAGACCAAGGACGAGACCGTGCTGGGACATGTGACGCAGACGTGGGAGCGCAGGGTGACCTAGGCGGTGGTGCCAAAGGAGAGTCGGGTGAGTGATGGACCGACAGGAGCAGGCAGCAGCAACCTGGGTAGACGCAGCCACCTGAAGGGGCGCCCCAGCCGGGGGGGTCACGGTGTCCAAAGTGAATAGGCCGGGCACCGGGTCCAGGGGGAACGTGGACAGGGGGGCACCAGTGGCGGCCTCGGTACAGACAGCATACCGCTCGTGACCAGGGAACGTAGTGGTGACGCCAAGGTCCTGGAGGCAGCCGACACCAACTAGGTTCCTGGAGAACGAGGGGATATGCAGACCTGTAAGAGAGCCCGAAAGAACCGCCGGACAGGGAAGGGTGGTGGAACTGCGGGCGACTACCGGACCGCCGGAGGGGTCAGCTAGGGAAACGGCAGCAGGAACAGGAAGCGGCGTCAGTGTAGTAGAGTCACGGAAGAAGCACCGAGAAGCGCCAGAGTCCAAGGTGAAGGAAAGCGAAGCAGTGGCGTCTGGCGGGTGCCCCAAAAACCAGACGTAAGCCCCGACACTTGCGCTTCGATTTTTGTCAGTTTTAAACGCATGTTCGCGCAACAACTGAATTGGGATCCGGCAAATGTTTTCACAGCGACCCAAAATTACAATTCCAATATTCTGCACATCAAAACGAAAACGGGTTGTGGGGGGGGGGGGGGTCGACCGTTTTGGGTAACGGGGGCATGCCATACATCGCGCGCAAAAAGGGTCGAAAAGTTTGAAACATTCTTGATTTTTGTCAAAGCGCGCGATTTCCTCCATCCCTTGGCTTGGCAATGCTCCCTGAATTTGCTGCTTTGATTTCACACGGCCTTCCTTACCTGTTTGTTACATCACAGACTAGTACGGTTCCGTCAGGCTGCCCATTAGGCGTTTAGGTGGCGGCGTTTCTATTTTCGCCGACTTGGTCGTGCTTTGTCGCAGGCCACTCACGGCGATTTGTGGTCAGATCAAAGCGATTTCCTACATTCGAATATACTGAGCTAGACGCTTGCTCGGATGACCGTTAGCCGTTAGTTCGCACGACTGCGAGTCGTCAATTCTTGGTGGAATCTGTCTGCCGCGTCGTCAGCTTAGCCTGTCGCCAGGAGTCGTCGTGTGCTGGCTTCCGTTTCGGATACCATGGCATAATTGGTGCCGATACCAGATCCCTGATACCGTCGCCAGCGCCTGATTAGGACCCAATGCATGCTGTTGACCACAAGTAGAGCTCGTGCGCCGATCAGAGCAGGCTTCAGTGATACACGACTTGAGCAGGCTCGTGCTCCGATTAAGTGAGTTTCGTGAACAGGATTGGTCTTCAGAATTGACACAGTAGTTCACAGGATCCTACGGCGACCGCAAAGTGAACAGGATCGGCCGCTGACGGCAAGTTGCTGCTACAGCCGACGCAGCCAGGAACTTGCAGCCAGGTGGCTGCAACCTGCAGCCTGCAGCCAGGTCTCTTATGCGGTTGCTCGCAGGATCCTACGGCGACCGCACAGTGAACAGGATCGGCCGCTGACGCCAAGTTGCTGCTACAGCCGACGCAGCCAGGGGGCTGCAGACACCTGCTCCAGGTCTCTTGTGGGGTGATTTTCTCTTAAGAGAAGCAGGTGGCTTTCGAGTCGAGCCGCCAAAAGCACCCGAAGGAAGCGCCCTTTCATTCAGCAAGCAGCCCTTTGCGGAATGGCGAACGCTCTGGAGGATCTCGACAAAGCCCTCGAGGTAACTTCGGCTCGGCGCGCTGCTCTCTTCCTTGAGTCAGTTCAAAAGCCCTCGGCCATTTTAATGTCTTTTTCCTCTAGTTTTCTAGTGCGAAATGGCGAACGCCCAGGAGGATCTGCCTTTCAAGTGATAAGCTCGGCGCGCTGCTGTCTCTGCTGTGATAGTCTGTACATTGGCTCGGCGCGCTGTGCTGCTTTCGAGACGTCAATTTCTAGGGTGGCCTGTGTGTCGTTGAGCCATATACAAAGATTTCCTAATATTGGTAAGAAAGGTCCTGCTCTTGTGATCAGTTTCATGAATTAGCATCTGTGGTGGATGCAAATCTCGAGAAGAATCTTGATTATTATCTAGGTCTATCTTCTGTGTGTTTTCTTCCGCCTCTTCTTCAGACCAGCTCCCAAGTGCACGTGTCAGGCCTGCACTGCAAGAGGAGTCTATTTATTGGCGCGCCTCAAAAATAGACTCTGCACGTGTCATGTCAGCGCTGCACTGCACCGCTCCATTGACCAGCCTCCTGCTGCCTCGTCTTCCCACAAATCAGGCCTGATTTCTCACTTAAAAAGCCACTCTCGTTCCCTTGCCTCCCTTCCTCCAGACCAGCTCCCAGGTGCACGTCTCAGGCCTGCATCCCTCCATCGACAAACCCCCTGCTTCCTCCGCTCTTCCCATTCCGCCGTCCGCCCGCCCCTCCGCTGCCTCCGCCTCCTCCTTCTCCCCCTCCCCTTCCAGCTCCCCCGCCCTCCGCCCCACTGTCGTCTCCTCCTCCTCCTCTGCCTCCGCCTCGCACTCCTCTGTCCTCAACTCTGCTTCCTTCTCTCTCGACCGCTCGTCATTGACGACGCTGATTGGAGCACATGGCAGGGAGCCGTTCCTCATTGGTGAGTGACCCTCTTCGCCTCCGGACGCCCCCTCCGCTTTCCCCTCCCTCTCCTCTGTCCTCCCCTGCGCGTCGTTTTCTCTTTACCTTTCCACGTTGCCTACTCTGATTGGTGCACGTGGCAGGGAGCCCTTCCTAATTGGTGGGTGACCCCCTTTCTATGAAGCCCCCCCCCCTTTCCCACAGGTGTTTTATGCACAGATCATTCAGCAGCTGCTGCTCTTCTTCCTACATACCCCTCCTGCCTGCACCCCCCTCATCCCCTCTCAAACCTCCCCCCCCCCCCCGCGTCCCACCCCCCCTCACCCACCTGCCAAGTCAGAAGTCGGCGTATGGGGAGCAGCCTCGGCTCTAAAAGTCTTTTGTTCGCTCCTCTTCCTTCCCGAGGTTGTCTGGCGAAACAGCCTCGGTCAAGTCCATGGTGTGCAAGCAGATCATTCAGCAGCTATGGCTGTTGTTTTCCTTTCACCCCCGCACCCTCCCACCCCCTTCCAGGCTCTTCACCCCTCTTACTCCAGGAGTGTCAGGAGGAGCAGCCTTGGGCAAGGCCACGCTGCGTTAGCAGATGGTTCAGCAGATACTGCTCTTCCTCCGCCACCCTCTCCCCTCTCCCCTCCCCTTCCCCCCTCCCCCCATCCCCTCCTTCCCTCATGCTCCACGAGTGTCGGGAGGAACAGCCTCGGGAAGGACCACGGTGTGCGAGGAGATCATTCAGCAGCTGCTGCTTTGCCACCCTCTGTCCGCCCCTCCTCCTTTCCCTCCCAGGAGTGTCGGGAGGAACAGCATCCGGCAAGACCACGGTGTGCGAGCAGATCATTCAGCAGCTGCACGATCATCGAGTGGTGCTGGTGAATCAGGTGAGATGGAGTGCGGTGCGGTGCCATGTGGTGCAGCAGTGAGTTGGAATATGGTACGGTGCAATGTGGTTCAGTGCTGCGGAGGTGGGACTGTTGAGTCGGTCGTTCAATCAGCGCCGTCGAGTGGTGCTGGTGCACCACGTGAGAAAGTAAAGGAGTCTAGTGTGGTGCAACGTGGTGCAGCTATGTGGAGGTAACTGCTGCAGCCATTCTTTCATCCAGCAGCTGCACGGCACCATAGAGTGGTGCTGGTGCACCAGGTGAGATGGAGTGCAGTGCGGTGCACTGTGGTGCAGTGATGTGGAGGTGGCTGTTTACTCGACTCAGCAGTCATTCATCCAGCAGCTGCACGGCACCATAGAGTGGTGCTGGTGCACCAGGTGAGTGCAGTGCAGTGCAATATGGTGCACGAGGTGAGGTGGAGTGTGGTGGTGTGCTGTGGTATGGTGGTGCAAGCAATGTGGTGCTGATGCACCAGCCATGCAACAGTACGGCGCGGTACCTCATTCCATGTATGGCTGTGCTTTAAAGCCGCGGTACACATTCCTTGAAATCTTATCAAATTATTAACATTTGAATCTGAATTAAAGCGTAACTTTGCCCTTGGAGCATTGGACCTCGCCAGCCTTGGAAAACATTCGGCGAGCCAAATGTGGGATTTGTGTACTCCAAATCCCCCATTCGCCCAGGGCCACTGTGTACCCCCACCTCGCAATTTTGTTTCCCCCCTCCCCTGCATTTTCGTTTTCCCCGCCCCGTACTTTCGTTCCCCGCACGTCCCGGAATTTCGTTCACCCCTCCCGGCATTTTCGTTTCCCCCGCGCCCCTTCGTTTTTCCCCGCCCCGCAATTCCGAATGTTTACACATTCGCCCCCCACTGCTATGTAGATTTCGTCCCCTCCCCCCAATCACAGCTTCATTTCCCGACCGCCCCTTGTCTTTTTCCCCGCGACAGAATCGATACTACCACCCCTTTCCCTCCGCAATTTCGTCTGTTTACACATTCGTCCCCCCCGATTTCCGCGCGCCCCTCCCGCCCGTTTCGTTCCCCTTCTTAGAATGTTTACAAACCTTCTGGATGTGACGAAATGCACGACGCGACGAACCAGAAATACCTTTTCGGGGCAGTCCACCCTTTCGTCAGACTCGTTAACCAATCCCTGCGACCCAACCCGATCCGCCACTGTTCACTCTCTGGCATTTAGGGGAATGTGTACCGCGGCTTTAAAGGCTCCATGCCGTCTCATGCCAACCCATGCCATGCCATGCCATGCCATGCCATTAGAAATGGACGATGCCTATCCGTGCAATTTCCTTCTTTAGTCCTTCGTGACATGCCATGACATGACATGCCATGACATGACATGACATGCCATGCCATGACATGACATGACATGACACCCTCCATGCATGCTGTACCGCCATGCTAGAACACCACTTAGGTGCCATGACTTTACGTGGCAGCGACTTGAAATGCTTAGAGTAGCAAAAAACTTGCTTGCTTGTAAAAAATCCTTTGCATAAAATCCTCCCAACTTCTTCTTTAGTCCGTGACATGACACCCTCCATGCATGCTGTACCGCCATTTTGCTGGCAGGACTCCTTCTACCGTGGATTGACTGACGAGGAGCTCAAGCATGTCAGCGACTTCAACTTCGATCATCCTGGTAACCACAGCTCCGTTTGGTAACCACTGGGTACTGTGCTGGTAGGTAACCACTTTCCACTGCGGGTTAACTGACGAGACGCTCAAGCATGTCAGTGACTTCAACTTCGACCATCCTGGTAACCACAGCTCGGTCTGGTAACCGATGCAGCGTATATGTTACCACAGTACGTCGTTGTGCTGGTAACCACAAATCCGTCTACCGCGAGTTGACGGAGGAGCTCCAGGATGTCAACGACTTCAATTTCTATAATCCTGGTAACCAGAATGAATGATATGACGCAAATAAAAAGTGCAGGTAACTACACTTAATGGATTGTTTTGTTAACCCTAATAGGTGGTCAGATGATTGTCACAGTGCATCGCATATTGCTCTGTTGACCACAACTCTATTTTTATAATTCTACCACTCTCAGGAGCCAGAGAGCATCCCAGTCTCCCTCCTTGACACCCTTGCTCTGTGAGACGCCCTTTGACGCTGAAGCCCTGCTGCCACCCTCACTGCCAGCTATCGTAGGTGACTTTTGAGTCGACTCAAAAGTCACCTAAGCAGTTGATGGTGATTCCCGTTGCTCCCTCTCTCTGCCCTCCGCTCTGCTCCTGCTGCTTTTTCTGAGGCGCCTCAAAGCTCACTGCCAGCTATCTGAAGCAGTTGATGGTGTTTCCCGCTGCTCCCTCCCTCTGCCCTCCGCTCCGCTCCTGCTGCTTTTCCCCTTCTCCCTTTCACCCCCTCAGGCTCCTTTGACACAGAGGCCCTTCTCTCCACCATCAGTGTTCACAAGGAGGGGCGGTTGGTAGAGATCCCCATACCCCTTTTGAGGCGCCTCAAAAGTGATCCCCTTTCTCCCTCGCTCCCCTCCCCCGTCGCCTCTCCTTCTCCCCCCCTCTCTCTCGCCAGACGCCTTTGACACAGAGGCCCTCCTTTCGACGATAATCGCTCTGAAGGAGGGGCGGTCGGTGGAGATCCCAGTGTACGACTTCAAGACGCACCAACGGTCCAAGACTGTGAGAAAGGTACGACGCACATGTGTCCCTCGACCCGAAACCCTAATTTCCCGTGTGTGACACAACTCGTAACACTCCCAAGGAGGGGCAGTCGGTGAAGGTTCCGGTCTGTGGCTCGAAGACACACTAACTTACGTTCATGCTGCTTCCTCTTCCCTTCCCCCCTGTATAGACTAACCCCGCCCTGCGGATGTCATCATTCTAAAGGCCGTTCTGGTGTTTCACAACTCGAGGGTGCGAGCTCTTATCCACTTGAAGATATTCATGCAGCCAGATGCACATGCGGCTTACCCCCCCCAACCCTGCTGACATCACGGTGCTTGAGTTGAAGGCATTCTGGTGCTCCATGTCCCAAGGGTGCGCTCAACTCAAGCCTGATGATGCCACGATGATGTGCCCCAAGGGTGCGAGCCCACTTTTGAGTCGACTCAAAAGCCAAGGGTGCGCTCAACTCAAGCATGATGATGCCGCGATGATGTCGCAATGATGTGCCCCAAGGTTGCGAGCCCTCTTTTGAGTGGACTCAAAAGCCAAGGGTGCGCTCAACTCAAGCCTGATGATGCCGCGATGATGTCGCAATGATGTGCCCCAAGGTTGCGAGCCCACTTTTGAGTCGACTCAAAAGCCAAGGGTGCGCTCAACTCAAGCCTGATGATGCCGCGATGATGTCGCAATGATGTGCCCCAAGGTTGCGAGCCCACTTTTGAGTCGACTCAAAAGCCAAGGGTGCGCTCAACTCAAGCCTGATGATGCCGCGATGATGTCGCAATGATGTGCCCCAAGGTTGCGAGCCCACTTTTGAGTCGACTCAAAAGCCAAGGGTGCGCTCAACTCAAGCCTGATGATGCCGCGATGATGTGCCCCAAGGGTGTGCGCCCTGATGAACATGACGATATTCGTGGACACAGATGCCGACGTGCACACATGAATATGCTGTGTACTCACACCCCCACCCCTGCCCCCTCCCCCACCCCCCCCCCCCCTCTCCGCCCTCTCCCCCCAACAGACCAACCCTGCTGATGTCATCGTGCTGGAGGGCATCCTGGCATTCCACGACTCAAGGGTGCGGTGCGGGCGCTGATGCACATGAAGATCTTTGTGGACACAGATGCACACGTGGTGCTTCCCCCCCCCCTCCCCTCCCTTAACAGACTAACCCTGCTGACGTCATCGTGCTGGAGGGTATACTGGTGTTCCACGACTCAAGGGTGCGGGCTTTGATGAACATGAAGATATTCGTGGATACAGATGCCGACGTGCGATTGGCCAGGAGGATCCGCAGAGATACGCTGGAGAGAGGGCGAGACGTGCAAGGGGTGATTGATCAGGTGTGATTCTAACCAGGGGTGATTCTAGCCAGGGGTGATTTTAAGCACGGGTGATGGAGCCTGGGGGGGAGAGGATGGTGCAGGTGTGATTGCAACGAGGAGTTATGGTGATGGTGCGACCATAATGAAGCATGGCAGTGCAGGGGTGGTTATAACGAGGGGCGATAGAGCTTGTGTGATTATAATGAGGAGCGACAGTGCAGGTGTGGTTATATGTAGGAGTGATAGAGCTGGTGTGATTATAACAAGGAGAGATAGAGCAGGCTGCCCTCCATGCCCTCTTTATCAGCCGACTCCCCTCTGCCCTCTTACATCCCATCCCACCCTCTCCTCCACTCCCCCCCTCCCCACAATACGCTCGCTTTGTCCAACCTGCCTATGAATCCCATAATTTCATGCTGCCCTCAAAGAGGTACGATCAACAGCCACAAGGCAGTGAAACCGGATCGTGCTGCACATAGGCTCTAAGTTGGGGCAGCACGACCTGGGGAGGGACGATCTCTGTCAGCCGAGGGATCAGTTGTCATGGAAGAGTAGCAGCAGCGTAGGAAGGTCGCGTCAGCAAAAAAAATGACAGTTAGAAAAAAACTGACAGCACGACCTGGGGACAATCTCTGCCAGCCCTGCAGTGCACTCTTGTGCCCTTTCCTCCCAATCCCTCCCTTCCTCCCTCCATCCTCCAGTACGCTCGCTTTGTCAAGCCTGCTTTCAACGACTTCGGTTTACCGACCAAGAAACATGCGGAATCATCATCCCAAGGGGGGAGATAATCACGTGGCAGTGAACCTGATAGAGTGTGAGGAGTCTATTTTTGAGGCGCCTAAAAAATATGAACCTGATAGAGTGCACCTGAGAGTGCAGCACATAGGCTCCAAGCTCCCCTCTCTGTTCGTTTCTTGTTGCATCCCTCCATTTTCCAGTATGCCCGTTTTGTGAAGCCAGCCTTTGACGATTTCGTGCTTCCCACCAAGAAATATGCTGACATCATCATCCCCAGGGGAGGAGATAACCACGTGGCAGTGAACCTGATAGTGCAGCATATAGGCTCCAAGCTGGGGCAGCATGATCTCAGGAAGATCTACAGCAACGTACACGTTATAGAGTCAACCTTCCAGGTACGTGTTCTATGAACACATGTAGCGGTATACAGTGAGCGTTTCGGTCGACTTGCTTCTTTGCACAATGCACGTGCATGCTACAGAGGCGACATTCCAGGTATGCACACTGCATAAACTTCCAGGTATGCGCACTGCATAAACTTCCAGGTATGCACACTGCATAAACTTCCAGGTATGCACACTGCATAAACTTCCAGGTATGCACACTGCATAAACTTCCAGGTATGCACACTGCATAAACTTCCAGGTATGCACACTGCATAAACTCCAGGTATGCACACTGCATAAACTTCCAGGTATGCACACTGCATAAACTTCCAGGTATGCACACTGCATAAACTTCCAGGTATGCACACTGCATAAACTTCCAGGTATGCACACTGCATAAACTTCCAGGTATGCACACTGCATAAACTTCCAGGTGCGCACTGTATAGTAAACGTTTTTGTGGACCCGTTTCTTGTGCATGTGGCCAGGTATGCACAATGCACAAAATTGCATGCATGTCCATGCTTGCTTGTGAATGGATCTTCTCTCTGTGCGCATTTGCCCCTCTCTGTGCCCATTAGCTGGTTCTTTCATTCCCTCCAGTTGCCCCTCTCGGAGTATCAAATCAGCAGCAGCCCCTCACATGTCCATTCGCAGCAGAGGGACTCTGTGTGCATGTAAAGTACAGCTGGTAGAATCAGCTATTTTCAAGAACCAGCTATTTAAAAAACCAGCTATTCCCTCAAAATGAGTTATTTTAGAAAACCAGACATTCTCCAAAATCAGCTGTTTCCAGAAAACGGCCTTTTTTTCTAAATGTAAGCATGTGTGATGACTTTTGAGTCGACTCAAATGTTACCTCGTGTGCATGTACACGCTGATGTCTTTTTTTCTAAATGTAAGCATGTGTGGTGACTTTTGAGTCGACTCAAATGTTACCTCGTGTGCATGTACACGCTGATGTCTTTTTTTTCTAAATGTAAGCATGTGTGGTGACTTTTGAGTCGACTCAAATGTTACCTCATGTGCATGTACCGTGCCTCTGTCTTCGTTTTTCCCCTTTCCCCGTTGTTGCTGTCAGGTCCGTGGCATGCACACGCTGATTCGCAACAGGGACACCAAGAAGCACAACTTTGTTTTCTATGCCGACCGCCTCATTCGCCTTGTACGTGCCTCTAATCCTCCTTCCCTTTCTCAAAGCTGCCTCGCTGCCCTACCCAAGTCACCAAGGAACACAGCTTTGTTGTCTTCTGTGCCGCCGACCGCCTCATTCGCCTCGTACGTGCTGGAATTAAGTGACCTCAGAAGTCCCTTCCTTGCTGCCCCATGTCGAGAACTTGCTGCCCCTTGCTGCGCAAATCACAGCGTTGCCTCTCACATGAAATCCGATCTCGCAGCACGCAACGCGATTTTTTAGTCGACTCAAAAATCCCACCATTGCCTCTCACATGAAATCGCGGCACGCAACACTGTCTTTCAATGTTGCCTTTCGCGCTGATGTCATGCAAGTAGTGCATCAGCCTCTCCACATCCTTTCACCTTCCGTTTTTTAGTCAACCTTTCGCGCTGATGTCATGCCTTTTGAGTCGACTCAAAAGTCACCATGTCAAAGCACTACCTCCGTTGTTTTCTCCATCCCATTTCGCCTTGTCCCTTCATTCGATCCTTGTCACTTCCAATCATCGCTATCAGCTGGTGGAGCATGGCATGGGCCACCTCCCCTTCAGGTGATTTTTGAGTCGACTCAAAAATCATTTCGCCTCGTCCCTTCATTCGATCCTTGTCACTTCCAATCATCGCTATCAGCTGGTGGAGCATGGCTTGGGCCACCTCCCCTTCACTAGTTGGTCAAGTGTCCTCCATTTCCTTAATCTTTATCATCCATTCTCCTCTCTTGCTCCTTATCTCCCCACCATCGCTATCAGCTGGTGGAGCATGGCTTGGGCCACCTCCCCTTCACTGAGATTCAAGTCACCACTCCCACTGGTATGTATGCACCACTCTCATGGACCAGTACTTCAGGGTTTTGTTAGGCGCCTCAAAAATCCTCTCGTGGACCAGTACTTCAGGGTATTTTTTAGGTGCCTCAAAAGTCCACTCTTGTGGACCAGTACTTCAGAGATTGGGGCTCTTTCTCGCCCCAATCCCTGTTTCGTCCCCTCCCCTCCATCCAGTATATACGGAGGCTTCAACGCCATTGGTTGGTGTATCCCTCGCAGACCCCGTGCACTCCACATACACCTCGATTACGAAATTGATGCCCAAAAACGGCCCCCCATGTCCTCTCCTCATCTCTTCTTCCAACCCCCCCCCCCCCTCCCCCGCACACACACTCGTTCTTGCTAGGCTCCACATACGTGGGGATCAATTTCAGCAAGAAGCTTTGTGGGGTCTCCATAATCCGAAGGTAATTGGTGTGATTTCCCATTATCCGCCCCTGAATGTGCACGTGTCAGCTTGGGCACGTGTCAGCTTGGGCACGTGTCAGCTTGGGCACGTGTCAGCTTGGGCACGTGTCAGCTTGTGCACGTGTCAGCTTGTGCACATGTCAGCTTGGGCACGTGTCAGCTTGTGCACGTGTCAGCTTGGGCACGTGTCAGCTTGTGCACGTGTCAGCTTGTGGACGTGTATCTTCACATCCCTATCTACTTTCCATGTGCATGTTTCTGTGCACGTTCATCGACGCCCATCTTCCTGCATCCCGCCTTGTGTGCCCCTTGTTGCCATGGCAGTGGCGAGCGCATGGAGAATGCTTGGAGGGTGTGCTGCATGGGATGGGAGTGTGCCGACACGATCCCCATGCATCCGTTTGCACTCATCTACGTCCATGTGTCTGTACCCCTCGCTCGTTGTATGCCCCTCTTTTTTTGGCAGTGGCGAGAGCATGGAGAATGCGCTCAGGGCGTGCTGCAAGGGAGTGAAGATTGGCAAGATACTCATCCACAGGGAGGGCGACTACGGCAAGCAGGTGAGAATTTACTTCAGAACCCTGTGCGATCCCTGCGCGTATGTGTACAAGCATCTGTGCACTGTATGCTGTAAGGGCGTGCTGCAAGGGAGTGAGGATTGGCAAGGTACTCATTCACAGGGAGGGGGACTATGGCAAGCAGGTGAGAATTTACGCCAGATCCCTGCACGCATGTGTACAGTGTACATGCATATGTGCATTGTATGCTGTAAGGGCATGCTGCAAGGGAGCGAGGATTGGCAAGATTCTCATTCACAGGGAGGGGGACTACGGCAAGCAGGTGAGGTAGTGTTTGTTTGCGCTATGAACAGGCATTCAAGAGGGCGCTTCGAGAGGGCAAGATCCATAACTGTGGCAAGCAGGTGATGCCCAAACCTCTCCCTTTCTCTGCGTGCATCTGTGTGCTCGTTTATGTGCTTATGCATGCGTGGGTGCACCCTACGTGCTGGTTGGCGGCACACCTAAAGGGAGTGAAGATGGGCTTTGGTAAGCGGGTGAGACCTCTTCTCTATTTGTGAATGTTAGTAAGCATTTGTGGGCAGCAGTATGTGCAGTATGTGCACGATGTGCAGTATGTGCAGTATGTGCAGTAAGGAGGAAGTCAAACGTGTGCCGCAGTCTTTTTTTTAGGCGCCTCCAAACTTATGCCCGGAGAGGTTCTGCGGCTTTCATTGAGAGGAAGCCATTTGTGTGTGCTTTTGAGTCGACTCGAAAGCTGAGTCGACTCAAAAGCAGATTTATGTCCGGAGAGGTTCTGCACCATTCACAGAGAAGAAGCCAACTGTGCGTGCTTTTGAGTCGACGCAAAAGCAGATTTATGTCCAGTGAGGTTCTGCAGCATTCACAGGGAGGAAGCCAACTGTGTGCCGCTAGAGGGACTTTGGTGTGACAGGCTTTTTAGCATTTTATAGAAAGGCTCACATCAAGGGAGTGAAGATGGGTGGGAAGCTTACTAACGGGGAGGGGGGAAGTTTGCCAAGGAGGTGAGGTGAGGTGTGAGGTGTGAGGTGTGAGGTGTCTTTCTGTCAGCTGGGATCTGATGGAGTTGCGAGGTGACTTTTGAGTCGACTCAAAAGTCGCTAGGATCTGATGGAGTTGCGACATTCGTTGTTCCGCTCACATGAAAGAACCTTTTCAAGGATGTTGCACAACGACATTCGTTGTTCTACTGTTGCTGTCTCCACTCTCCCTCACCCCTCCTGTCCTCCTGTCCTCTTGTCCTGTCCTCCTGTCCTCCTGTCCTCCTGTTCTCCTCTCCTCCTGTCCTCCTGTCCTCCTGTCCTCCTGTCCTCCTGTCCTCCTGTCCTCCTGTCCTCCTGTCCTCCTGTCCTCCCTGCCATCCATATACGAGAAGCTTTGCTCAGGGGCATTCTTTTACCCCTTGCTCCTTCATCTCGCCCTCACCTCCCTTCCTCTCCCTCCTCTCCTCCCTCCCTCTGCCACCTCTCACCAGCTCATATACGAGAAGCTACCCAGGGACATCTCTCAGAGGCACGTCATGCTGCTGGATCCTGTCCTGGCTTCAGGTGGGTCTGAAGATGCCTCCTTCCGCTGCCTGCCTCCTTCTGCTCCGTGAACATTAGTGCCAGCACTTCCCTCTCCCCAGGTGGGTCCTCCTTCCCCTCCATCAGCATGGGTTCAACCTTTCGCTTCTCTATCGGGGCCATGATCTATGAGGATTAAGTAAATAGTATGGGGATGTAGCTCAGATGGTAGAGCGCTCGCTTAGCATGCGAGAGGTATGGGGATCGATACCCCACTTCTCCACTCTTACGGTCTTTTCTTCGGGTGTGCCAGCTGAGCCAAGGACCTCGTCCTCTGAGCTCAAGGGGTATCTGAAACTTGTCATGACGTCCCAGCGTTGATACAAAGTGTTGCTTCGGAGGGCATCAAGATCAAGGCCTTCGAGCTTCTGCTGCTGCTGCTGCAGAGAGGGGTGACTGGTTATGCCAGCCACATAAACATTCTTTTAGGGGCTGTTCCTCCTTCCCTCTCCTTCCCCAGGCCGCTCGGCCATAAAAGAGATCGAGCTGCTGCTGCACCGAGGGGTGCCTGATGTGACCATACTGATCGATGCTCTACTCTAGTATTGAAGCTGTGCTGGTCGTCTGCTTCCCTATTCCCCCCTCCATCAGGTCGCTCAGCCATAAAGGCCATCGAGCTGCTGCTGCACCGAGGGGTGCCTGAGGACCAAATTATTTTTCTCAACCTCATATCGGTGAGTTTACGATGAGTGCAGAGCGGTAATAATGGTGCAGAGCGTATTCAAATGGAATCTCTCTCATTATAGCTGCTGCACTGAGGGGTGCCTGCGAGCGGCATCATCTTCCTCAACCTCATATCGGTGAGTTCACGAGGAGTGCAGAGCGGTAATAAGTGGTGCAGAGAGTACTCAAATGGAATTTCTCTCATTACAGCTGCTGCACCGAGGGGTGCCTGCGAGCCGCATCGTCATCTTCAACCTCATATCTGTGAGTTTACGAGCAGTGCAGAGCAGTAATTATTGGTGCAGAGCGTTCAAGTGGAAAGTGTCTCACCATATCTGGCATCTGCGGCACCGAGGGGTGCCTGAGACCCACATCGTCGTCCTCACCCTCATACATGTGAGCTGTTGTAAGGAGTGCAGAGTAGTGCCAAGTGGTGCCTTGTGCCTGTCTCACCATATCTGCTGCACAGAGGGGTGCCTGAGAGCCACATTACCTTCCTCGCCTCATATCTGTGTGCCGGCGTTTCCCCCACCTCAATATCCCTGTGTCGTCTCGCTCTACATTCCTTCTCCCGCCTCCCCTGTTCCCACCCTACCCACCTCCAGGCCTCAGAGGGAATTCAATTGTGTGTGTATCGGCGCTTCCCGCATCTCAAGGTCGATGTCAGAGGGAATTCAATGTCTTCCTGTCTCTCTTCAATCCCTCTCCTGCCTTCCCTTTCCCACACTCCCTTCCCCAGGCCCCAGAGGGCATTCACAATGTGTGCCGGCGTTTTCCGCACCTCAAGATCGTGACCTCAGAGATCGACTCGGGGATAAACGAGGAGTACCGAGTGGTGCCGGGGATGGGGGAGTTTGGGGATCGATACTTTGGCACCGAGGAGGGAGACGCCGGGAGGGATGATACTGGTGATGATGGTGATGCCTTTGAGGCGTCGTAGCATCATGGCGGGGAGTGATGCTGTTGATGGGGACTGCGAAATGAATAGGGAGTCGGGATACAGGAGGAGTGCAGAGCGGTGCTGAGGATGGGCGAGTTAGGAGACTGATACTTGGGCACGGAGGAGGGGATGATGGTGATGGTGATGGTGTCCAGGAGTACAGAGCGGTGCCAGGGATGGGGGAGTGGTGATAAAAACTTCGGCAAAGATGAGGGGGACGAAGGGCGGGATGCGAATGGTGGTGGTGCTCGTGGTGCTGTCTTTAGTAGAGGAGATGTGACTGTGGTTGTGCTGCTGGTAGTGGTGAGGGGAAGAGAGGAGTAGCAGCAGTGGGGGCGACAGCGGCTTCAGCAGTGGGGCTTCCAGTGGCAGTGGGAGCGAGTGGAGCAACAAGCTTTGAGGCGTTTCAAGACTAGGAGCGGCAGCAGCAGCAGTAAGGCACTGCTAGTGACAGTGGGAGCAAGGGGAGCAAAGGCGATGGCAGTACGGCCAGTGCTGCGAATGGTACCAGTATTGTCATAGTTGCCAGTGCTGCTTCTAGCCCAGCCAGGTATAAAGTGGGAGTGGATTAGGAACAAGTGAAGCATGAGCTATCGCACATCACTGGCCATTTAGTCACTGGTAAGGTGGGAATTGACATAGTGAGAAGTTTGTATTGTTGATCAATTCTTGTGGGCGAAATAGCTTATAATACGTCCTCACAAGGAAAGTGTTACGATTCCATGAATAGAGTCATTATGGTTTACTGGGTGCACATAAGCTCGTAATATTTCAAGTGTACTGCTTAAAAAGACAATCAACAGTGCAATGAAAATCGATGACTAGGCATGCGTACTGTTCACTGTCGCGATGTAGCATTCTCAGCAAGGCTAATCTTTCTAGGGTAACTGTCCTTAATTTTTGTCAAATATAACGCAAGTTTTGAACCAGTCCTGAAAATAAAGAGCTAGATTTTTTCAGCCTTTGAGATTAAGGGAAATATGCTGGTGCTACCTTGAATGTGCTATTTGTCATGAGATAGTAGGCCTGCAGATTTTGGTGATAGGCCGGTTAGCGAAACAACGTTTCCTCCAAGCGAGCACAGGGCGTAGTGAGTTGCAGTGCTTATAGCCGTTCTCTGTGGATGTCATCAAGTCCTAGTAGCACCCGACGTGGAACTGCCCGAATTCAGAACTAATGGACTGGGCCTTACCCCATAGTTAACTGAGAGTGTTAATGGATACGGCTCATTTGAGACCTGAAAATTAAGGGTAGCGTTCAGATGAGCCTAAATTTGTAAGAGTGGTCCAAAACCAAAAGTAAGCTCTGGTTCTCAGCACGGGAGCTGGCTTTGCGAAACTCGTTGAATTTGACACTCCCATGTTGCCAGATGTCGCGTTGTGCTGTAGTGCCAGGTTGTCCTGTCCAGTGTCCACATGGACTCAGGCATCCCGCTGACCAGTCAATGAAGTGTCGGCGCAACTGTATGTTTGTTCCCAATTTTCTCTTGCCCGAAATTTGTTCACCTTATACTATAGCTTGAGCTATGAAGCCACTTTATTTGGCTTTCTGGTATTGTGCTTGACTTAGGTAGAGTAAACAGTTGTGAATTGCATTGGTTTTACCGATTCCGGGCAGAAACTGAAGGTGGGTAGAGTCGCTTTGTCGTGCAGAAAATCGACGACTCACTCGTGTCGTGTCGTGTGAGAGAAATGCCTTGAAGGCATGCCGGTTGATCTGACAGCACAGTCCCCCCCCCCCTCCCCCCCCCCCCTCTCCTCCCAGTCCCCCCTCTTTCTCCTCCCCCTTCCCCGCCTCCTCCCCTCAGGCCTCAACCGCCTCGCCCCTTTCGCTTCCCCCACCCCACCCCCAGAAAACCCGCATCCGTCTGTCTGCTGCTGTTGCCGCGTCAATTTCCCCGGCCTTCTGCTCGACTGAGCTTTGACTGGCCTGCCCCTCACTCCCTGGAACGGTACGGCGCTGCCACTGCAGCATGGCGAATGCATGGCGAATCTCGTCATGTTACACTCCCCCTTCTGTCTGTTGCACACCACAGCCCTGACGCCCCCCCCCCCTGCTGGGCCTCCGCTCTCCTCTCACAGCTGTGGGTACAAATTGGACACCAAATTCCGTCAGTATCATCAGCATTCGACCAGAGAGTTGGTTTTCAGCACCAGTCACACGCACTACAGCACTGCACTAGCTTCCACCTTCTGCTCGACTATCGTTAGCGTGAATTCGTCTCGTTCGTTTGCCACAATGGCGCGCGCGGCTCTTCTTCCGCTCCTCGTCCTGCTGCTCGTTGCTCCCGGTATGCTTCGTAGCTCGCGTTATCTCGAGCATCCTTCATTCCGTTGCTTTTCCTGTGGTGACATTCCCGATAAACAGCCCGCCTTTTCTGGGCAAAGCCTCTTACTTCGGGTGTTATCGCATGTCCCCTAGTTTGTGAACTTACCAGACCACTCTTTTAACTTTGATCCTGCGCAGTTTTCGGCCACCGGGGAGGCGGTGGAGGTGGCTTCGGCGGCGGCGGCAGGGGGCCGCATGGCCCGCCGATCGACGCGTCCGTCACGGGAAATCTCACAGGTGCGGAGAACGAGGCGTTCGGCTTTCGCAATGACTCATGATGCAACATCGCCGTTTACTGCGTTTCGCCATTCACACAACTGCTCCGTTTAACCGTGCCGAGCTTTCGAGCCAAGCACTCCCGCCCTTCTAGCGCTTCATACATTCGCCATTGCAAGCTTTCCAGCATCGTGCGATAACCATGCCAGCGTGCGCTGATTCCTTCCCCCTTCCCAAACCCCCTCCCCCCCCCACCCCCCCGTCCCCGCCCTTCCCCCCGCCTCTGATTCATATCCTCAGGTCGCGTTGGTGCCTGGGTGGCCAACTGCACCGCCGACATCGGCGCCACTCGCGGCAAGTTCCTCCTCGCGGTTTTCAAGGACGAGTCGTCCGGCTCCGCCGTCTACAATCTCTATTTCGATGCCGACCTTGACGAGTACTCCGGGACCGCGCCCGACACCATCACCATCGTGCAGGGCTCCGCCTGCGACTCGACCGCCACTGCCGCCCTCACTCTGCCGTCCACCGGCTGGGCCACCGAGACGCGCGGCGGCGGCCGCCACGGCGGGTGGGGCGGCGGCGGCGGGTCGCACACAGAGCTGCGCGTGACGGGCACCGTGGAAGGCGCGGACGCGACGGTCGTGGAGGCGCTTCTCGCGGGCGTGCCGAACGCGACGGTGACGCAGAACATGTTCACCAAGGCGCTCAACGGCGCGAAGCAGGGCTTCCAGAACGCCTTCGGCGGACGCCGCCGCGGGCGCGAGCTCGCGGGGCAGAGCGCGGGGAAGATGGCGCAGCAGTTCCTGAAGCGCCAGCGCCAGCGCCTGGCGTGGATGGGCGCTAAGACCAAGGCGCTCTTCGCGACGTTCATCGGGACCTCTGATACCGCGACGGATTCGCCCTACGCTGTGATTTTCACCGACAGCACCACCGGGAACTCCTGGAGCGCCGCGCTTACTGGGAACTTCGGCAGGAAGCCGCACGGACCTGATGGTGACGGGGATGGCCCTGGTGGCCACTAGAGCAGAGCCAACCCATAAGATTTCAGTCGTAAAGATGGAGCAAAGGGCAGGGTGCAGTTTGGGGGGAATGCAGAATGGCTGGTGATGGGTTGGGAAGTGTCGGACGGGGTTTTAGGGTTGTGAGGGAGGAGGCGCTTTTGATGTTTGCTTTGTTGGGTTCCATTCAGGTGGGGTCTTTGGTCGACTCTTGAGAAATTTGTTGAGGTGGCGGGGATACTTCTGGTATCATTGTCCTCTCTAGAGTCGACCCAAGACAACCTCATTACCGTCTGTTTTATGCTTTAAAGGAAAAGCAGCCTTACATTCATTACTCAATGCTGAGAAAAAAAACGCACAAAACAGAGTGATTTCTTTAGAATCAATATGAAAACATTATGCAACGAGGAACATAATGTAAAAGTGCGTAAAGCTTGTTAATATGGTAGTACGAAATAAGGCATACATCTCTAGTTACTCTCTTCCCGTGTAGCGAATTGTTCAGTATCTCCATAACTCGTTTCATGAACCGTGGGACTGTGACCGGCCACGACGGAGGTTGGCACTGAAGCGAGTCAGAAATTTCAAGACAAGCGCGGCGGCGGATGGATCCGACTGGCCACGTGTGAAATTGCGACATGTGCGGTTCGTTGCTCACTCTCGCAAATCGTCGTGGAGGATATTCCCACCCCAACGAGCACTTCCGAGAATTCAATCTGCCTTTCCAACCGTAGGATTCTCAAGATCGTGCTGCTCACAAAAATCGCGTCAGGCTTTTTCACAACCGAAAAGCCAAACAAGCCAAATCGAGCCGCGGAATCTGTCCAGTTTCGCATTTCTCTCCTGCGTTGGCCAGGCTTTCAATTCCGTGTTCCGCTCACGGCAAAATAGAGCATGTCGGTGGGCGGCTTCTGGCTCGACAGATCGTCTGTCGTACATCGTGTGATGCTTGCGAGTCTCGCTCGACTCAACCTTGCTCGTGAGTCTCGACCTCGTACGTGCTTCCTTGCCTCCAGTTCTAACTATGCCTCCCCTGCGTAGCGAAATTGTGCCTCTTAGAGATCATCACACCTATGCCGCTCAACAACCGTCAGCCTGCGGGCACGAAGCTAACGTAGTCAACAACGCGCGCCAAGACTACGATAGTATTCATGTCCCCAGTAACAGAAACAGTTCGTCTCTATGAGCGGCCGTAACAGACCTCTTGCCCTAAAGCCCTCGTTTTAGCTGACCGGATTCTAAGGACTTGGAGTTTCGCTAGTAGGGTGTGAATCTACTAGATCGGAACAAAACACTAGATTAAATTTCGCCCTAGCAATGGCCACCGCGACGGTGGGTTTGTGGACCGATGATCGATTGCCATCCGTAAGTCCTCCGTTTGCTGCTGGTTTGGCCAGCGACCTAGCAAAAACGGAAGAGGGCCGTGACCTCGTAACAGCGGCAGATGGCTCAGCCGCTAGAGAGCCGATCCGTTGCGCGCCGTTTTCCGCCCTCGGGGGGCGCGGGCAATCGGCGACCATACGCCCGCTGCGCTTTCCCCGCGATCCTGAATCGGAGGAGTCGCCAGACGACTCTGCGACAACGTCGTCAGCGTCGGATTGCGACCATGCAGAAGCTGGTTTCGATTGCGACCCTGGGGGCGAAAGAGGCGGAGGAGGAGGCGGAGGGGTAGGAGCAGTAGGCGACGCGGGTGTAGGTTCGCTCGCGCATTGTGGGGTTACCTCCATGCTGCGATTTCGTAACCTTTCGTACTCTGTCGCATCGGGAACGCGAAAGAGCGCATGCCGCAAATCCAAAACTTCGAAAGTCGCGCCGTTGCCTCAAGACGAAAGCGCGGCAATCGAGACGTTCCCAGTAGACGTTGAAGTGGGCAGCGGGGATAACGGAAATACAGTCGGCAGTCTCAAATCAGGAAGTTGGAGATTAGGGGACGGTATCCACAGCATAGACAGTTTTTCGAGTGCTGGCAGCAGATTAAGCTCGTTAGAACGCTCGATTTCCAAGCAGATTGGCGCGAGAAAGAATCACAGCCGCAGGGTTCTGGTCGATATCAACGGCTGCGCGCGATCGGGAGAGATAACGGCGATAATGGGGGCCAGCGGCGCGGGGAAAACGACGCTGCTGAACATCCTGGCGTGCCGCATAGCGTCGGGTCGGCGAGCGGGCGAAGTGGAGCTCGACGGGTTACCCGTGCGAAGTGGGATGATGCGACGCGCGTCGGCGTATGTGATGCAGGACGACCTTATGTTTCCGTCGCTCACGGTATGTGCGACGCATAACCGTGCTTTGTTACAATCTGTTTGTCTCAATTGCTTCCCAACCCTCAAAACAGGACCTAATTTCTCGTCACTGTTTCGCGGTGTCTGGTAACCAGGTGCGCGAAACGCTGATGTTCGCTGCGGAGCTTCGCCTGCCGCAGAGCGTGGGGCGCGAGGAGAAGGCGGCGAAGGTGGCGCGGCTGCTGGACCTGCTGGGGCTGGCTGACGTGGCGGAAACGCGCATTGGGGACGAGGGACAGAGGTAAGGGGAGACGAGGGGGGAGCGACAGAGGGAGAATGGCGAGCGAGATAGCCAAAAAAGATATAGTAGCACCTAAACTTGCACCTCAGTCTCGAGACGAATTTTATTTTTGAATTTGATCATCATTGGAACACCTCCCTCACCTCTCGCCAACAAAACAGGGGCGTGTCAGGCGGCGAGCGGAAGCGCGTCGCGAACGGCACGGAGATCATCTGCGACCCGAAGATTCACAGTTGATCATACTCCCACTTACTTTTTTCCTCGTAAGGAGTCTATTTTTTAGGCGCCTCAAAAATATACTTCTTTTCCTCGTGCCTTCTCCCCTGTCAATAACAGGGGTGTGTCGGGCGGCGAGCGAAAACGAGTCGCGATCGGCACGGAGATCATCTGCGACCCGAAGAAGCAGTGTAACAGACTGATTTCGCGTGCTTCTCTTGCTGTCCCTCCTTTGTTAATAACAGAGGCGTATCCGGGGGTGAGCGGAAGCGCGTGGCAATTGGCACGGAGATCATCTGCGACCCGAAGATCCTCTTTCTCGACGAGCCCACGTCGGGGCTCGACTCGACGAGCGCGTTCCGCGTGGTGCGGGCGATTAAAGACATCGCGATCAACACCAACAGCATCGCCGTCATGGTGCTGCACCAGGTGCGGCGAATTTTCAGACCCTGCTTTATATTTAGAATTTTCAGACCCTGCTTATTATTTAAGATTTTAAGCAGGAACCGAACTTCGGTCGCTGAACTTGACATGAGAAGCACGTACCGAATCGCCTTCATGGTGCTGTTCCAGGTAAGACGGTCCCTACGAGCAATCCTAAGAACGATATCCCTTATCGTCCCCCCTTGCCCCCCCCCCCCCCCACCCTCCCCCCAACCCCCCCCCAACCCCCCCTCCCCTCTCGCTCTCTCCCCACCTCCCTCGCCCGATTGCTCCCCTCTCTCCCCACCCGCATCCCCCACCCTCTCTCCCCTCCTCCTCCCCCCCAATCTCCTCCTCTCTCATCCCAGCTTCCGCGTTCTCAGCCTCGTCGGGCCACACTGCGCTCCACACCGTGCCTACCCCTTTCTGAATGCGCCACCCCCCCTCCTCCCCCCCCCTCTCCCACCCCTTCCCCCCCCCTTCCCCCCCCCCTTCCACTGTTCCTCCCCCCCCTCTCTCACCCCAGCTTCCGCGTTCTCAGCCTCGTCGACCGCCTGCTCCTGCTCGCGTCGGGCCACACCATCTTTCACGGCGCGCCTCCCCATCCCCCACCCACTTCCTTCTCCCCCCCTTCCCCTCCCCCCTCCACTCCCCCCTTCCCTTTTTTCCCCCTCTCTCAGCCCAGCTTCCGCGTTCTCAGCCTCGTCGACCGCCTGCTCCTCCTAGCCTCAGGCCACACCGTGTTTCACGGCGCGCCTCCCGCGCTGCCGCGCTTCCTCGCGTCGGTGGGGTTCCCCGTGCCGCAGTTCGCTAACAGCACCGAGTTCGCGCTGGATCTTATCGAGGATATGCAGCGGTCGAGCCGCGAGGTCGCGGATTTCGTGGGATTTGCGCGGGAATATGCGCGGCAGCAGGAGGAGGAGGAAGCGGAAGCGGAGCGGGAGTGGGAGAAACGGAGGGTCGGATTTGCGGGGGAGGCAACGGTACAAACGGAGAAGATCGATTCGTTACAAGAACACGCTGCGCTCCGATATAAGCTCCACCTAGATGGTTGCGTCCAGATGCCGGGCCTGGATAAGGAAGAAGGGACGCCGGAAGGGACGCCGGAAGGGACGCCGGAAAAGACGGGGAGAGGAGGAGCTGACGAAACGGCGAGATGTTGGAACTCCAGTTATTTCCAACTGCCCAGCGCGCGTAACGAGCCGGCTACTAACGAGGACGTGGAGACGGGCGGTGTGGATCGGGCTGGCGAAAGCGGAAAGGCGCCTTGGTGGGGGAGATTAGGTGGGAAGGGGGAGACGGGGAGAGCGGAAAACGGGGGAGGGGAAAAGGAAAATAAAGATGGCCGTATGGAGAAGGGTTGGGATTGGGGGGTGAAATGGAGGGGCGGCGGGGATGGGAAGGAGTTTGCGAAGGTTGGCGACGGGGTTGGCGAGACGAGAAAGTATGGTAACGCATGGTTCGCTGAGCTGGCGGTGCTGACGAGACGAAATGCGCTGATCACGTTTCGCACGCCCGCGCTGTATCTCCTGCGACTGGGGCTGATCGCTATAACGGGGATACTGCTGGCGACGATCTTCTTCCGACCAGATGAAAGGTACAGTGAATGAGTTGGGAGCGGAAACAGGAGCATAGGAGAGGAGGAGGGGGGGGGGGAAGAGGAATGGGGATAGAGTGCAAAACGGAGACCCAAGGGAAGTAAGATCAGGAGGGGGAGGAGAAGAGAAATGAGGGGCGGATTGAGAGGGAGCAGGAGGGGAGGGAAAAATGTGAGGGAAGGAGGGTGGGGAGGAAGTGGGGGAGGGAGGGTGAGGAAAAAGTAGCAGCTGACTTTTTTCCTCCCCTCTCACCGAACCCCCCTCCCCTTCTTATCCCTGACTCCCCATCCCCACCATCCCCTTCCCTTCAGCATGAAGGGCTTTCAGGAGCGCCTGGCCTTCTTCTCCTTCGCCATCTGCGTGCTCTTTTTCGTCTCGTGCGACGCCGTCCCCATCTTTATTCAGGTGTGCTTCTACACCAATCAGATGTCACTCAGGTGTGATTCTACACCAATCAAATGTCATCCAGGTGTGCTTCTACACCAATCAAATGTCATTCAGGTGTGATTCTACACCAATCAAATGTCATCCAGGTGTGCCACCAATCAAATGTCATCCAGGTGTGCTTCTACACCAAACAAATGTCATTCAGGTGTGCTTCTACACCAATCAAATGTCATCCAGGTGTGCTTCTACACCAATCAAATGTCATCCAGGTGTGCTTCTACACCAATCAAATGTCATTCAGGTGTGCTTCTACACCAATCAAATGTCATTCAGGTGTGCTTCTACACCAATCAAATGTCATTCAGGTGTGATTCTACACCAATCAAATGTCATCCAGGTGTGCCACCAATCAAATGTCATCCAGGTGTGCTTCTACACCAAACAAATGTCATTCAGGTGTGCTTCTACACCAATCAAATGTCATCCAGGTGTGCTTCTACACCAATCAAATGTCATCCAGGTGTGCTTCTACACCAATCAAATGTCATCCAGGTGTGCTTCTACACCAATCAAATGTCATTCAGGTGTGCTTCTACACCAATCAAATGTCATTCAGGTGTGATTCTACACCAATCAAATGTCATCCAGGTGTGCCACCAATCAAATGTCATCCAGGTGTGCTTCTACACCAAACAAATGTCATTCAGGTGTGCTTCTACACCAATCAAATGTCATCCAGGTGTGCTTCTACACCAATCAAATGTCATCCAGGTGTGCTTCTACACCAATCAAATGTCATCCAGGTGTGCTTCTACACCAATCAAATGTCATTCAGGTGTGCTTCTACACCAATCAAATGTCATTCAGGTGTGCTTCTACACCAATCAAATGTCATTCAGGTGTGATTCTACACCAATCAAATGTCATCCAGGTGTGCCACCAATCAAATGAGGTGTGCCACCAATCAAATGTCATCCAGGTGTGCCACCAATCAAATGAGGTGTGCCACCAATCAAATGTCATCCAGGTGTGCTTCTACACCAATCAAATGTCATTCAGGTGTGCTTCTACACCAAACAAATGTCATTCAGGTGTGCTTCTACACCAATCAAATGTCATCCAGGTGTGCTTCTACACCAAACAAATGTCATTCAGGTGTGCTTCTACACCAATCAAATGTCATCCAGGTGTGCTTCTACACCAATCAAATGTCATCCAGGTGTGCTTCTACACCAATCAAATGTCATTCAGGTGTGATTCTACACCAATCAAATGTCTAGTTTTGAGGCGCCTCAAAGCCGTCCCCACCTTCATTCAGGTGTGCTTCTACATTGCCATCTCATTTCATGCCCCACCATGCCATGCCATCCCATGCTCCACCATGCCATGCCATCCCATGACCGACCATGCCATGCCATCCCAGGACCCTCTCACCTCCGTGATAGCAGCAGCAGCATCTACCGTCCCTTCGCCTGACGGCTCACCTCCTCCCTCGTATACCTGCTCTCCTCCTCCCTCCTATGCCTGCTCTCCTCCCTCCTAGGCAGGAATATCTGCCTCTGCATCTTCTCAGTCTATCACTCATGTCGTACCCCCTCTGCCTTTCCTCCCCACCTCCTTTCCTTCCCCTCAGGAGCTAAACATTTTTCTCCGGGAAACCAGCAGCAGCATCGCCTACCGCCCGTCCACCAACCTGCTCTCCTCCTCGCTCGTCTACCTGCCCCTCCACCCCCTCATGGCCCTCACGCTGTGCCCCCTCTGCCTTTCTCCACCTCCCTCCCGACCTCCTTCCCTTCCCTCTTGTTCAGGAGCGCAACATTTTCCTGAGAGAGACCAGCAGCAGTGCCTACCGCCCGTCCACCTACCTGCTCTCCTCCTCGCTCGTCTACCTGCCCTCCACCTCCTCATGGCGCTCACGCTAGTGCTCGAGGCCTGGTGGTGCCTGGGGCTGCAGGGCGGGGCTCAGGGCTTCTTCTTCATGGTGCTGGCTTGCTTCGCCATGCTGTTTACCGGGAATGCGATCGCCACGTGCGTCAGCATCTGCGTCAACCAGTGAGTGCTGCTCCTCCCTCCTATCCTCCTCCCTCCTCCACTTCACCTCCTCATGGCACTCACGCTAGTGCTCGAGGCCTGGTGGTGCCTGGGGCTGCAAGGGGGCGCTCGGGGCTTCATGGTGCTGGCTTGCTTCGCCATGCTGTTTACCGGGAATGCGATCGCCACGTGCGTCAGCATCTGCGTCAACCAGTGAGTGTTGGGTCTGCTTTCCTCCTTCCTCCTCTCTCCCGCGTCTCATCTTCCTTCCATCTACATACTTCCCCATGCTACATGTGTCAGCATCGGTGTTAACCAGTGAGCGCAGGTGGGTACCTCGCCAGCCTCCTTCTGGCCAGCGTCCTTCTATATGTCATTCCTCAACAGCGTCCTTCTGGCCTATCCAGTGCCCATAGCTCCTGTACTGGACCCAACTATGAGGCCTACTCATACTTCGCCCTCCTCAGCAGCTTTCACCCCTGCGCCCTTGTCCTCCTACTCCCCTCAACCTCCCCTGTCCCTTTCTCCCTACCCAGTGAGGCGTAAGCAGTGGCCATTGCCCTAATGTCATGCTTTGCTCTGCTCAGCGGCTTCTACATCGACAGGCAGAGCACTCCTCGTGGCAGCAAGCAACATGCTTCCGCGCCATACCCTGTCTGTTTTTGAGGCGCCTCAAAAAGTGAATCCGCGCCACTCCCTGTCTCCTCCCTCCCTCGCTGCAGCGCGTGGTCCTGGCCTATGCAGTGGCGCTTGCACTCATGGCATACTTTGCTCTGCTCAGTGGCTTCTACATCGTCAGGGACAGCAGCATCCCTTGCATCAGAATGTGGAATTAACTTCACCTTGCACCCCCTTTCCCCTAACCCCCATCTCCCTGCTTCTTCCCCCTCCCTACCCAGTGTGGTGCTGGCCTACGCTGTGGCCATCGCCCTCATGGCATACTTTGCCCTTCTCAGCGGCTTCTACATCGACAAGGACAGCATCCCGGGCTTCTGGATATGGCTGCACTACCTCTCGCCCATGAAGTACGCCTACGAGTCACTCGCAATCAACGAGTTCGGCAGGTGAGGAACCATCATTCAATGAGTACTTGGTGCTTGGAGATCGCCACCCCTAGTACTTGGATATGGCTGCACTACGTCTCGCCTATGAGTCACTCGCCATCAACGAGTTCGGCAGAAGGGAACCATCATTCAATGAGTACTTGGTGCTTGGAGATCGCCACCCCTAGTACTTGGATATGGCTGCACTACGTCTCGCCTACGAGTCACTCGCAATCAACGAGTTCGGCAGGTGAGAAACTGATCATAAGCTGGGTGTTTGATGAGGGTTGGAATGCTACCACTTGCCTCTGGATATGGCTGCACTAACACTACCTCTCGCCTGTGAGAAGCACGCCTATGAGTCACTCGCAATCAACGAGTTTGGCAGGTGAGCAAGGCACCGCTGGCTGTGATACAGAGGGGTGCATGCCTGGCATATGTGGAGTGCAATCTTGTGCTTGTTGCCTATGGCATATGGCTGCACTACCTCCCTCTCTCTCCCATAAAGTGCTCCTATGCGGCCCATCAGCGAGTTCGGCAGGTGAGAATCCGGTCATTAGCACTGGGATGTGTGAGGTGTGTGGGTAGCCTGCTGCCGCCCCTGGTACTTGGATTGGATACGGCTGCACTACCCTCTCTCCCATAAAATGCGCCTATGAGGCCCTCGAAATCAACGATTTCAGCAGGTGAGGAAATAGCATTCGATGTGAGAGGTGACGTCTGAGAGGGCTCAAAAGGCTCAAATAGCATCTGCAGCTGATGGGTGGGATGTTAGAATGGGATGGGATGGCAACCCCCCTTGTGTTTGGACATGGCTGCACCCCATTGGAAAGGCCACCTCTTGTGTTTGGACATGGCTGCACTACACTCAACCCCACAACCCATAACCCAAACCATTCCACTCACAATGCATATCCCCATCCCTCGCCATTTTCATAGCCTCAAGAGCACTCCAATGCTTAGGAGCCGGTGGGTTGAAAGGGGAAGTCATTTGAGGTTGCTAAACTCCTATGTCCCTCCTCATCTCCCGTGCACACCCACACACCCCTTCCCTCCCCCCAGCATCTCTTACTCTTCCCCACACACAACAGACCTGGAGGCCCCTGCTGCTACTGGCAGCCAGTACAATGTTTGAGTCGACTCAAAAGTCACCTCAAAAGTCTTCTTCCCTCGTTCTCTCCCCTCCAAAATGCCCCCCTCTTCCCCACACACAACAGACCTGGAGGCCCCTGTTACCTGGCAGCTGGTACAATGTTCGACAATACACCCGTGGCGCCTTACATAAATGGAACAACTATAAATAAGGCAATGATGGGGATGCGCCAGGTGCTGGCTGGTACCCCTTACAGCAAAATCGCTGCAAGCACATGCTTGCGGGACGGCCCTCAGCTGCTAATAACTACACTATCGGTGAATGAGCTCAACATGTGGGAGAATGTTGCGGTGCTGATGGGGTTTGGAGTGGTCGTACGGTTCGTTACGTTTCTCCTCTTGGTGCGGTTCAGTAAAGCGAAGCAGCAGTGAGAGGGCAGGGTGTGGCTACCCCTCTATAAGGGATTAAGGCATATTCTATGGCATACAAGTGTATCATTGTAACAATAACATAATGCTACTGGCTAATCTTTATTTTTTTTATGATGCATTAAGGAAATGAGAATAGCTGTGCTAAACCCTAAGTTATTTTGTAGCCTAAAGCACGAAGTTGCATTCATATGAGGATTGCAGACGTGCCATATAGATGGGATGGCTGTACATTCGAGCACACTTGGCTATACTAAAGCACAATGAATGCTTGCACCCCGTTTTCTAAACTAATAGAGACTTAACACAAGTTTGTTTCGTTTCTCGAACCTTGATGAAGAGCTACTTTATTATAAGCAGCTTCCAACATTGAGAAAAGGTCCCAAAACGCGTCGTACAATAAGAAATCCAGCACAACGGCTGGATTTCATAATCCGACAACACGCATCAGGAGGGCGCGGCATCGCGGGAAGGATTGAGCCAATCACAGGCAGGTGTCAGAGCACATGCCTCAGGGATGGCCGTTTTCAAAGGAGTCGAGTAGTGCGCATGTCGAGTCCCCCCAAGGAGTCCTCGAGTCATGCACCGATATTGTCACCGCACGAATCAGGTGGTTTCTCTTTCCTGCAGTCTCGTTACAGGACAGCTCAGGATTCCCTGTCAGTCAATCCCCGTCCGAAGTAGCATGTTAGGTTTCGGGACGTCGCGGAACCAGGAGATTTTGCTATCTAACCGTTCTGCGATATGCATATACCGTACTGTACCTTCCTGTAACGTCCGTGGACGTCACGATCTGTTGTACTTCGGACACGTCCCCTCTGACCAGCAATAAACAGGCTGCTAATAGATCGGAAGACCACCTATGAGGAGCCATTGTTGTCTGCCAGTATCTTGGAGCAGCTACTAGCTATTGTTGTGAGTCACTTTCAGTGGCGTGGGCCTGCTCCGGTTCTCGCTTCTCTTTCTTTTAGTGTACCTGACACCGCTTTCAGTTCCGCAATTTGTTCACTTCAGTCTCCCGATCAACCGTCCTTCCATTCAGATGCTGCTAGTGACTCAGGCATGTCGACTCACGCCAATATCAACCAGCTTCCTGACGACATTCTCATCAGGATCTTATGGCATTCCAATCGACCCAATCCCAGCAAATCCGACAGCGACGCTTTATGGCACACCGTCAGTCCAACGCCCAATTACATACGTGCAGACCTTTCAGTTCGCAAGCTCATTCCAACGGACGAAAAGACACCAATTTCGACTCCTCCTGGCTTCGCAGATGCCGCTTTAAGTCTCTTCATCGCATCCGTCTGCCCTCGATGGCGCCGGCTCGTCCAGCGACACGTCTCCACGCTTCTTGTGAGGGAGAACCGCGTTGTTCCTCTTCAAGCTCTCACCCACGCCGTATCCTGCTTACCGAACCTCACCCATCTCCACCTCTGCGACGGCAGCGTGGAGACCCTCGACGACGCCTTCCTCGCTCACCTCGCCTCGTCATGCCCTAAGCTCACGATTCTCCACGTGGGAAGCGGAATCGCGCCAGTAGACAATGACTATAACGGGCGAGAGGACGATCACCCTATAACGGAAGCTGGCCTGGATCACTTCTTCCGGCAGTGCACTCAGCTGCAGCAGCTGTCGCTCTTCTGCCTTCACGAAGACATCAGTCGCCCGGCTTCTTTCTTCCAGCTGGCAGATCTCCATACCCTTGCCCTGACCGACGCGTCAGCGCTGGAAGCTCCTGATCTGCTGAATCTGTCTTCACTCACAACGCTTACCATCGCCTCCCAGGAGATCACTTGCGAGCAGATCGGGAGGCTCGTTCGCCTCACACGCCTCTCGAACCTCTCAATCTCCGACCAAACCTGCCTTTATCCTGACGACGACCATTCTGCCGCTCTCGCGATCAGCACCATCGCACGGTTACCCTGTCTCAAGTCGCTGGAGTTTCTCCTCATGTTTTGCTCGGAAGCATCATGTACCACCCTCGAGCAGCTGCACATCACCGATACCCATCAGCTCGACCGGCTTCCAGACGACATTGGCGCGCTTCTGCCGTGCCTCCGCGAGCTGACGCTGTCATCATGCGAACCTCTGGCTCGGCTGCCCAGAAATTTTTCCTCCCTAAGCTGCCTGGAGAGCCTGACAATCTCCAAGTGCGACCATTTTTCCAGACTGCCCGAAAAAATTGGTAGCTTGCCTGCCCTAAAGAGACTTGTACTGGAAAAGCTGCCTCTCTCGGACCTCCCAGACTCCCTCTGCGAATTATCTTCCCTGGAGTCACTGTTTCTGATTGGCTGCCCGGAGATTCACCATCTGCCAGCAGGCTTCAGCCGCCTCACTGGCCTTAGGACCCTGAGCCTGATGCACCTGCCAGTATTGACTCTTCCAGAGGGCATTGGAGGGCTCAAGAGTCTCCATACTTTCCTTCTGAAAGAAAATTACGGGCAGCTGCTCCCGGCCTCGTTCTCCCAGCTGACTTCCCTGGTCCAGGTTGAATTGGACGCTTGCATAATTGGCGCGCTTCCCGAGGGTATGCAGCAGATGAGCCACCTGCTAGAGCTGCACATCGGTGCCTGCCCCAACATTACAGAGATTCCTGAGTCCTTTTCCCGGCTCCCCGGCCTTCAGGTCCTGACTGTCAATGACTGCACCGGGCTTTCGTCCGTACCGAGGAGACTGGACAGCCTTACAAAGCTGAAACGGCTGGAGCTGACTGGATGCAGGCAGCTGACCGAACTACCTGAGATTCTGCCGCCTTCTCTTGAGATTCTGCACCTGGGGTGCTACAACCAGGTGTCTAAACTGCCGAGGACCCTTTTTCTCCCGAGCCTCACAAGCCTGAGGCTTATTTCGGTTGGGGTCGAGCAGCAGGGAGAGGAGTCCGACCTCAGCTTGCCGCACCTGAATTGCCTGGAGCTGGTGCTGGCAGACGATGCTGAGGAGCTTCCTTTCCCCTTGGCGTCTCTTTCTCAGCTCCGCACCTTGGGAATCTGGAGTGCTGGAAAACTGAAGCAACTTCCAGGAAACATCGGGTTGGTTTTGCGGCAGCTGCGGAAGCTGCAGATACACCATGCGCATGAATTGGCGGAGCTCCCAGCAAGCATTTCGGAGCTTCGGAATCTGACATCCATGGAGATTCTCGAAGCGCCGAAGCTCTCGACCCTCCCTGACGCCATCAGTGCTTTGTCCCGGCTGTGCAAGCTGAACCTGACCCATTGCCCGGCCTTAAAGCTTCTCCCTGCTTCTCTCACCCAGCTCTCCTGCCTCTATGATTTGAGCATTCAGTTTGCCTCCATCTGCTGGCTTCCTGCCGACTTTGCGAACCTGAAACGGCTCAGGAGACTCAGTGTGCACGGGTGTAAGCAGCTGCAGGGCTTCCAGAGGACGTGTCTGAGCTGAGGATGCTGCAGGTGCTGGATGTTGGGGGTGCAAGCAAGTCTTCGATGGCAAGGGCTGCGTACAGCCCCGGGCATCCGTGGGATGTATGGGCTCACAATCCACGGCTAGAATCTGCACTTGTCTCTGCTTTTGTCTCCGCAATTTCCGCATTTGTTAGCACGTGCAAGCAAGTCTGTGATAGTGAGGCCTGGATGGATGGAGGGATGCATCATACAACCTCCCGGCATAGGAGATGTATGGGCTGATGGTTCACCGATAGAAATCACACTTGTTTTCCTCGTGATATTGTCACTAACGGGGCTTTTGGCTTGCTCCCTCACAACGTGGCTGAAGCTAGTACCGTGGTAGGAAACACTGCTGCTCTGCCGATGCTAGTTACGGATACCAGAATAATGAAATAGTGAATATCATCATCAGGGTCAGTGCCGGGTACCTACCAATGCAGCGATGTCAAACAAAACAAACCATAAATGTGATATGGACACCACACGAGCAACGCAGTTCTTTCAAGCCAAACAAACCCGCTCTTATTTTCATCTAGACACCCTTGATAATCACCTCGGCAAACGTTTCTCATTCAGACCCCTTGTGAGGTGCCCCGAATCAATGCACATTGGTTGAAAGACCACTGGCCCCTCTTGCTTCAGGTGCTGCTGCTGCTTGTGCTGGTATTGGTGCGGGGACCGAAGCTGCCAGTGTTCGTGCGGGGACAGAAGCTGCAAGTGTTGGTGCGGGGACCGAAGCTGCAAGTGTTGGTGCGGGGACCAAAGCCGCCAGTGTTGGTGCAGGGACCGAAGCTGCCAGTGTTGGTGCTGGTGCCGGTGCCGGTGCCGGTGCTGGTGCCGGTCCTGGTGCCGGTGCTGGTGCTGGTGTTGGTGCTGTTGCTGTGGTTGCTGCTGTTGCTGTGGTTCAGAGGGTTAGCTTCTGCAACAAAACCCATTAATGGGGCACAAACGAATGACACAAAACCAAGAGAAGCACACGCCCACTCCTCGTTGCTGGTCCCCACTCCTCGTTGCTGGTCCCCACTCCTCGTTGCTGGTCCCCACTCCTCGTTGCTGGTCCCCACTCTTCGTTGCTGTTCCCCACTCCTCGTTGCTGGTCCCCACTCCTCGTTGCTGGTCCCCAATCCTCGTTGCTGGTCCCCACTCCTCGTTGTGATTTTTTCTAGTCGACTCAAAAATGTATTTTGAGGTGATTTTTGAGTCCAATCAAGAATCTCCACATCACCTCGTTGCTAGTCCCCACTCCTAGTTGTGATGTGGACTGGCAAGGTTTCAAGACGCCTCCAAAGCCTCAGCATCCCTCCCGTCTTCACCCTCCTCTGTTCCAAAGTACCGGACCCCAAACTCGCCCATCCCCAGCACCGCTCTGCTCTGCACTATACGTTTATCCCCGAGTCGATCGCTGACGTCACTATCTTGAGGTGTGGGAAGCGCCGACACATGTTGTGAACGCCCTTCTGGCGCCTGGGGGACAGAGGAAGGTGGGGGGAGAGCCAACACACGTTGTGAATGCCCTCTGGGCTCTGTGGAAGTGAAGAAGAAGAAAGAGAGAGGGAGCAGAGGGATGAGAAGGGGAGGAGGGAGGAGGGAGGAGGGAGGAGGGAGGAGGGAGGAGGGAGGGAACAGTAGCACAGCCTCAGTCCTAGAGCATTGATGAGCTTGATGGTCATAGCAGGCGCCCCTCGGTCATAGCAGGCGCCCCGCGGTCATAGCAGGCGCCCCTCGGTCATAGGGGGAAGGGGGGAAGGGGGGAAGGAGCGAGTAAGTGGGTGAGGGCATAACAACAGCAGGGCTCACAGACATCAGGCGCCCCTCTGTGCAGCAGCAGCAGCTCGATGGCCTTGATGGCCGAGCGACCTGCGAAATAGAGGTAGACGGATTGGGGGAAGGGGGGAGGGATTGGGTAACTGTGGGAGGGCATAACAACAGCAGGGCGCACACAGCAGACGCCCCTCGGTGCAGCAGCAGCTCCATGGCCTTTATGGCTGAGTGACCAGAGGCGTGAAGAAGGACGGGGGGAACCATGTCACAGCTAGCCTTAGCACTACACTCTGAATACACGGCCCACACCACAGCAAGGCACCCCTCTGTGCAGCAGCAGCTCCATGGCCTTTATGGCCGAGCGGCCTGGGGCCCAGAGAGGGAAGGGGAGAGGGAAGAACAGTGAGCATCAAAAGTTGCCTCTGGATTAGCAGGTTCACAGCAAGGCTTTTGAGGCGCCTCAAAAGTTGCCTCTGGATTAGCAGGTTCACAGCAAGGCTTTTGAGGCGCCTCAAAAGTTGCCTCTGGATTAGCAGGTTCACAGCAAGGCTTTTGAGGCGCCTCAAAAGTTGCCTCTGGATTAGCAGGTTCACAGCAAGGCTTTTGAGGCGCCTCAAAAGCAAGGCACCCGTCTGAAAAGCAGCAGCGCGATGGCCTTGATGGCTGAGCGACCTGGGGCAAAGAGGGAGAGGGGGGGGGAGCCGTGTCACAGCCTTCGACTCCGAACTACAGTCTGAAAGCCAGGGCCACAGCAGGCACCCTTTGGTGCAGCAGCACCTGGGCTTTATGACAGAACGACCTGTGGAATGGGGAGGTGCGAGGCAGGTATAGGTGAGGGCAACAGAGCGGAGACCAGCCACCATAGCTATGGTGCAAGATAGCTATGGTGGCTATCTCAAGTTCGAACAGGCTGTTCGTTCCTTCAGTTCGTTCCTCACCATCAAGTTCCTTCAGTTCCGCACCCTACGAGGGGACCCCTGTACTCAGCCCGTACCAAAAACAACCGAAGCAAAGAATGGAGAAGTGGGGTATCGATCCCCATACCTCTCGCATGCTAAGCGAGCGCTCTACCATCTGAGCTACATCCCCATGCCTTCATGGGGCCACTAGCCCTATAGAAAAACGCTCTCTTGGAGGGGGGAAACATCAAGGCTTCCTCAGAGAAGAGGCAACTACACACTCACCTAAGTGAATTTCCACTCACCTCAGGAAGGAGTGAGGTGTGATTCAAAGGGGTGCGAGGGGGGGAGCAGGTAGCGGTACTCACCTGAAGCCAGTACAGGATCCAGCAGCATGCTGTGCCTCCGAGAGATGTCTTTGTGGAAAGATTGTTTTGAGACGTCTCCAAACGAATAATGTTTCATGTGGGAGGGAACATTCAAGCTGAGGCAGGAGGCGTCTACAGACCCACCTAAAGCCAGCACTGGATCCAGCAGCATGACATGCCTCCAAGCGATGTCCCCAGGAAGGAGTGAGGTGTGAATAAGGGGGGTGCAAGGGGGGGAGCAGGTAGCTGTACTCACCTAAAGTCAATGCAGGATCCAGCAGGCACAGAACGGGCAATCATCTCCGTCCACAAAGCGTCTTGCTAGACTTGATACTTAATGTATGTGGAGCCTGGATTGGAGGTGTGGGTGAGGGGAGGGGGCGGGGTGGGGGGAGACAGTGATTCGGGAGGCAGGGTTGGGCAGGACATTGGGGTGGACATTAAAAGGTTTCGAGGGAGAAAAAGGGTTCGGGGAGAAACAGGGTTCGACAACAATGTAAAACAATTACACATGAGTACTGAGGAGCGGAATGAATTGCGATAATATCTTTCTGTTGGATGGGAAACGTGACAGTAGTTACCTGTGGCCCTGTGGGAGTGGTGACTTGAATTTCAGCGGAAGGAAAGTGCCCCAACCCATGTTCGAGCAGCTGTAGGTGTGAATTGGTTGGGCATGGAAAGAAGGACGGATGGTGGTTTGGTTTTTGAGTCTAAAAAATCATTCAACCAGCTGAGAGTGTGAATGAATGACCCATGGAAAGAAGGATGGATGGAGAATTGGGAGAAGGAAAACGGGAAGAGGGGATAAAGAGAGAGAAAATAAAGAATATTGGACCAAATAGACAGGGGGTAGAGTCGAAGTTGCAAACAGAAAGGGGCTAGACGGAAATGGATGACGCTGCTGTGATTGTAAGGAAGGACTAGGGGGCGCTTTTTGAGAATTCTCAACAACCCAGCTAGCAAAACAGTGCAGCACAGAGGCAATTTTTTAGGCGATTTTTGAGTTGACTCAAAAGTCAAAAGTCACTTTTGAGTCAGACTCAAAAGTCATCTAGGACTAGGGGGCGCAACGTAGCTAGCAAAACAGTGAAGCACAGAGACAATCTTTGAGGCGTGTAAGAAAAACGTATGGAGACAAGAGAGCAACGCGATTTTTGAGAATTCTAAAAATCACCTGCAACGAACGGAAATCAGCTGCGATAAGTGAAAAGTGAGAAGGTGCGGAGGGAGAGGGGTGCATGGTGCGTTCCGCGGCGAGGCTATCATCATGATACGGACATGGCTTGACACGGACATGGTTTGGCACGGACATGGCTTGGCACGGACATGGCTTGGCATGGCGTGGCGCTTACTTACGAGACCCTCGGACCTCTCACGGCCGACAGAACTCGGGTAGACACGTCATCGCCGAGGAAACGCATGGCACCAACGCTGCTGAGAGTGACGCCTAACGCGCGGAGCCATCGTCGGCACACCAGCGACTGGGAGAGACTTAACCCAACGGCCTGGAGCGAGCCTGCTTGCTCCCAGATCCAAGAAGCACCTGGTACCTAGCGACGGCAACAGCTGGGCTTGCGTCCTGCTAAAGCGGACGGGTGCAGTAGCTGTACTGAGAAGCTCTGTAACGAAGATTGACTAGGTAGAAATGAGATAGCTGGGAGGATGCAGAACTGCATGAGAATTTCACGACCATCGCAGCTGTTCTCACGAACTAATAGCGAAGCCCGCAAATAGCCTTGCGACACATCCAGCGCTGCAGAGTTCCCGACGAATTTTATGTGCAATCTTGTTCACCTGACACTTCTTCTGAGCCGCAATTGATGAACAACGAGTTCCACCACTAGACATGCACTGTGAGGAATTACCATTCCTTACTGCGCTAAGCTACAGCGCGTACACCCGAAGACCTCGGTGTCGCAGGTTCGGCCAATATTGTCGGCCCAGACCTCCCCGCGTCGCGTTCTGAGACCCTCGCCACACCTCAAACCACCCTCACGTTCCGAGGTTCTCGCCCTAGCTCGTCCTAGCACGTTCGTGCCCTATTTTAGCCAGTTCGCTCGCCACTTGCTGACAATCATATTCCTAGGTTCTATTTCATTACTCAGTTGATCTTCCGATTCCCACTCATAACATGCACCGTTGTGGAACCCGAAGCTCTTCCAACCCTCACTTTTCATTCGTAAATTCTGCACCTTCGAGCAGCAACTTCCGGTAACTCGAGCCCGGTTACGAAACGTTGTATCGGAGAAAGATTAATGTATGGGTCCTCATTGTATTACGTCAACCAACAAATCAGGGAAGGGGGTTTTGCCAGCCGCGCGTTTCGCCTTGTTTCATTTCTTTCCATGCAACTGCACTCCATCAGCTGTCCATCCATCGGATCCATCCGTCCGTCCATCCATCCCGCCATAAAATCCTGTCCATCCATCCCACTAAGCACTTCACCCAAACCAATCTCACTGCGGTTGTGCATGATTTACTGAGAAGTCGTTTCCCTCACGTAAGTTTTCCCTAAATATCCTATTGAACGGTTTTTTTTATTAATCGTCTTGTTTACCTTTTTTGTAGAGAGCATCTCAGGAAACAAACCGAAGGAAACAAGGCAAAGTTCGAACTTTTTTAGAGGTTTGAATCGTTTTGAAGCGGCTCTGTCTTATACAAGCACGGTTCAACGTGGTTACGGTTCGAGCAAAGCCCTGTTCGTTCCTTCGGTTCCGCGCCCTAAAAGCCTTTTCCTCGCCTGCCTGTCAGCATCAACTTCAGGCTCACCTCGTTTCCTTCCAAGTCTGCAACTCGTTTCCTGGGCTTGGGAGTAAGGTCAGTCACTCAAGTCAATGCCGCAGAGCAGCTGACGTTATTCTGCTGACTGGTCTAATTCCGCTCCTCCCAGTGGCGAATTCCTCCTGATGAAGGGAAGAAGCACAGGCTGGATTCTGGAGGGACCTTGGGATTGCCGAACCAGTCTCGTCGCTTGGACCGTTGGCTGATTTCAGCCGTGGTGTAGCCGATTATCGACGTCGCCAAGCACCGCCGCCATACCTGCGGTTACCCATCGCTAACCTACCCTATTTTCCAGCAGCACTCGTTTCGTAGCTCTCGCATTTAGTTTATTTTAGCTTGAGGGTCGCTCGGACTGAACAGAAATTCAGCTTCTCTGGTGTGAACGAGCCTTCTAGTAGTAGTATCTGGCAGTCTCAGCAGGTGATGGAGTCTGAGGCTCCCACACACATAGACGATCTTCCTGACGACATTCTCGAGGAAATCATATTCCGCTACGAGCATCCCGTGCCTAGGAAATCGGAGAGCGACGATCTGTGGGACTCCCTTTCTTTGAATCCCACCCCGATGTACCTCTCTGCAAACCTTTCAACCGAGAATGCCAAGGAAACTCCATTGCCGATTCCCCCTCCTTCTGCGAACGCTCTCAACATTCTCCTCGTTTCGTCTGTCTGCCGTCGCTGGCGCCATCTTTCGCAACGTTGCGTCTCCACGCTCCTCGTCGGCGAAAATCTCGCCGTTTCTCGCCGAGATCTCGCGAGCGTCGTCGCTTTCTTCGCAAACATCACCCACCTACACCTGTGCGACGGCAGCGTGGAAACCCTAGACGACGCGTTTCTCGCTCACCTCGCCTCGTCGTGCCCGGAGCTGACGATCCTCCACGTGGGAAGCAGAATCACGCCCGTGGATGCGAATGCATATGGCCTTAGGTCACGGAGAGACGAGCACCCGGTCACACACACCGGTTTAGATCTTCTCTTCCGGCGGTGCGTTCAGCTGGAGCAGCTCTCACTTTACTGCGTTCATCCCGAGACGAAATTTCCCGCTTCCTTCTACCAGCTCGCGCATCTCCATACTCTCGCTCTCACAAGTGCTTCACCTCTAGAATCTCCGAATCTCCTCGCAAACCTCACTTCCCTCACCCACCTTCACATTCTCTTCGAACGGCTGACTTTCCAGCATCTAGCGAGCCTCGCTCGCCTCCCAAGCATCACCTCTCTAAGCATCTCTGACGAAACCATCTCTCCGGAGCTCAATCTCGCGCAGCTGCCTCTTCTCAAGGCGTCGCGATGCCGTCCGCTCCTGCCCTCGCCATCGCCGTGCACCAGCATCCAACGGCTGGAGATCGTCGAGTTCTACCCCGGAGACTGGGAAAACAGATCAGGTGAATTTGGACGGCTGCTGCCGCGCCTCCGTGAGCTGACCCTCTGCGGCGAGAGACAGCGTGGCCAGCACCGCCCTCGCTCTTCGCTGCCTCAGTCCCTCACCACGCTAAGCCTCTTGGAGAGGCTGACCGTTTCCAACTGCCCCTGGCTTTCCAGCCTGCCTGGAAATTTCGGAGACCTGCCCGCGTTGAAGTCACTGGTGCTGCGGCAGCTGTCCCTCTCAAGCCTCCCAGACTCCCTCTCCCGGCTTTCTGCCCTGAAAATATTGGTGCTGCACACCCTGCCTCTCTCGGCCCTCCCTGACTCCATTGGCCAACTCTCTGCCCTGGACACACTGGTGCTCTACCAGCTGCCTCTCTCCAACCTCCCAGACTCCCTCTGCCATCTCCCCTCCCTGGAAACCTTTTTTCTCATTGGCTGCACCGGCAGGCAGCAGGATTCCCTGCAGCTGCCAGAGGGTTTCTGCTGCCTTTCTGCTCTCCAGACGCTCTGCATCGCGGATGTGCCTCGGTTGCGGCTTCCAAAGGACATTGGCCAGCTGCAGGTGCTGCAGACACTTTTCCTAAACCGGCTGCTCCAGCAGACACACCTGCCGCCATCTTTCACCCAGCTGACCTCTCTCACAAGACTCGAGCTGGGCAATTGCATGCTTCGACAGCTACCCACGGCCCTTGGGAACCTGACCAGCCTGAAGGAAGTGCACCTCCATTCCTGCCGTAGACTCCAGGAGCTTCCAGAATCCCTCACAAGCCTCTCAAGCCTTGAGGTCTTAATGGTGGACGGCTGCACCTGGCTGTCGTCCATTCCCAGGTACCTAGACAGTCTTGGGAAGCTCAAACGGCTGGAGCTGACGGGGTGCCAGCTCGCGACAGACCCTCCCATCTCTCTGCCGCTCTCTCTCGAGATTCTAAGCTTGGGAAACAGCTACCGTGCAGCTGATCTACCGGACGTCTCCCTGCTGCCGAAGCTGAGGAAGCTCAACCTCAAGCTGGTCGGCAGGGGGGGCGGTGGGGGCGGTGGGGGCAGTGGGGGTGGTGTGGGGGAAGAAAGAATGCCTGTTCGCTGCGACATCTCTCTTCTGACGCACCTTGAGCTGACATTGCCGGATGATGCAGAGCAGCTCCCCTTCTCCTTGGGCCTCCTCCCACAGCTGAACACCCTGATCATCTGGAGTGCTGGTAAGATCCAGAAGCTTCCAAGAATGATGGGATGGGCGTTGCCCCGGCTGAGGAAGCTGCACATCCACCGTGCTGCAGAGCTAAGGGAGCTGCCTCAGAGCATCGGCGCCTTGTCCCGACTCGGCCAGCTGACCCTGTCTGACTGCCCGGCCCTGCACCGTCTGCCGGCGTCTCTCACTCTGCTCGCCTGCCTCCATGAGCTGACGGTTGAAGAAACCGCCCTTGGCTGGTTTCCTCCCGGGTTTGGGCGTCTGACCAGGCTGAGGAGGCTCAGCCTGCAAGGGTGCTTGTGGATGCAGGCTCTGCCAGAGGACGTGAGTGAGCTGAAATTGCTGCAGATTTTGAGCATTGGTCGCTGGCATGTGCTGGACTATAGAGGATGTATGGGCCAGCCTAGTGGGATTGAGGGGATGTACGGGCTGAAGATAGAGTAGAGTTGCAGCAGCACTGCACGCACAGCATGCTTTGACTAGGTTAAAGCCCGCTGCTAAAATAGCAGACCTGGAAACTGTCAAACATTAGTATATCTAGTGTTTGTATATACTGTATAGGGTCACCTCTTAGAGAGTACAACCCTTAGATATGAATGCTTGTACCCATGTTCTCCACTCATTCATTACTCAGTTCTAAGATGGTATCAGCAGTAGGTAGGTCCCGCCGCCCGCCCATGCTTCCGCCCTAGGCCCTAGCCTCCCCGGCGCTCGTCGCGCCCGTCCTACCGGCCCCCGCGCCCGTCCTACCGGCCCCCGCGCCCGTCCTAGCCGGCCCCACGCCCGTCCTAGCGGCCCCTGCGCCTGTCCTACCGGCTCCTGCGCCCGTCCTAACCGGCCCCCGCGCTCGTCCTAGCTGGCCCCCGCGCCCGTCCTAGCTGGCCCCGCGCCCGTCCTACAGGCCCCCGCGCTCGTCCTAGCTGGCCCCCGCGCTATGTCCTAGCCGGCCCCGCGCCCGTCCCAGGCCCCTCCTAGCCGGCCCCGCGCCCGTCCCAGGCCCGTCCTAGTCGGCCCCGCGCCCGTCCTACCTGGCCCCTGCGCCCGTCCTCGCCGGCCCGGCGCCCGCCGCTACTGGCCCCCGCGCCCGTTCTGCTGACCCCTGCGCGCGCCCTGCCCGTTGATCTCCGGCCCCGTACTCACCTTCCCGCCGGACTCACCTTCCCGCCGGACTGCCGCCGATCTGCGTGCGGCCCGCTCTTCGTGCCCTCTACTGCACTGCACCCTCCCTGGTAGGGTTCTCCATCACCTTGCACTGCACTGCACCCCCTGCACCGCACGGCACCGCGCTGCACCGCACTGTACCGCACTGTACCGCGCTGCACCGCACTGTACCGCCTTGCACTGCACTGTACCGCCCTGCACTGCACTGCACTGTACTGCCCTGCACTATTCCTGATGGCGGCGGAGATTTGCTTCGACGCTGAAGGCTAGCCTCTGGAGTTTGAGGCCTGGCTAGCTGACCTCCGCCGCCACCTCACTGGTCAGCGGCAGGATGGCCACCCGCTCTCAGCACATCTTGACGGTACGCTTCCCTGCCCAGACCCCCCTGCTGTGCTGCCCGCTGACCCCACACCTGCTGAGCGTGAGTCTACTGCGGCCGCTGCCCTCACTCGCTCTGTCTGGCTTTCCCATGACGCTATCGCCCAGCTTCCCATTAGCAATGCCCTCCCCCCGTCTGAGCGTCCTCGCTTTAGGTCTATCACCACCGCCCAGGCTTTCTTAGACGCTGTTAACCGGCGCTATTCTGCCCCGCCTGCTGCCTCGGTGGGTCGCCTGATCCTACCGATGCTCTTTCCTGACCTTGCGTCTTTCCCCACTGTCGCTGACCTGGCTGCCCACCTGCGCACGATAGATGAGACCTGGCGCACTTCCTGCACTGACGCACAGCTTAGAGCCCACCAGCCGCCCCTTACCTCTACCCTCTACCTGCTTGCCACCCGCCTCCCTGACCGCCTTGCCGCTGCTCGTGACCGCTTCCTTAGCATTCACCCCGGTGACCTCACCCTCACAGACTTTGTAGACACCCTGACTGTTATTGAGACCCGCCACCGCTCTATCGCCCAGGCGAGCGGTACTGTGCCGGTCCCTATCTTTCAGGGTTGTGCCCCCGCTCAGTGCACCTTCTCTGATGGTTCTGCAGCTGTGGCTGAGACCGCCGCCGCAGCGCAGTTCCGTCCGGGGAAGGGCCGCCGCCCCAAGGCTGGGCGCGGCGGAGGTGGTGGGGGTGCCAGTGGAGGTGGTGGTGGAGTCGGGTTGTCTGGTGGTGGAGTGGACGAGGGGACCCTGCCAGGTCCAGCTAAGCAGCTGCCCCAACAGCCGCAGCAGCAGCAGCAGCAGCCGCAGCAGACGAGGCAGGCGAGTGCCCTCCCGCCCAGGTGGCCTGGCGCTGGTGGTGGTCGTGCGCGTGGTGGTGTGTCGGGTGGCGGTTCGGGAGGCGTGCGCTGTCAGTACCAGATCCAGACCGGTTCTCGCCGCGGCTTCGTTTGGGGTAAGATCGGTCACGCCACTGCCCGCTGTTTTCGTCGCCTGTTTCGTCAGCGTTTCGGCCCATCGCCCGACCTCCCAGACTGGCACAGTTTGCTTAGTCGTAGAGTTCAGATTTTTGACATGGACATGGATGCCATTGTTTCTGCCCTGCATGTGATGTATGCTGATGACTCTAGTGTGCTCCCCTCTTATTACTCCTTGTCGCCTAGTGTAGGTGTGCCTAGCCTCCCCTGTTGCGTCAGGCGTAGGAGCTTCTGCTTTGTTTAGCCTTGGTGCTTCCGCTGTCGCCCCGTCGCCAGACGCCACTGCTTCGCTTTCCTTCACCTTGGACTCTGGCGCTTCCCGATGTTTCTTCCGCGACTCTACTACGCTGAAACCGCTTCCTGTTCCTGCTGCAGTTTCTCTTGCTGACCCCTCCGGCGGTCCCGTAGTCGCTCGCAGTTCCACCACCCTTCCCTATCCGGCGGTTCCTTCGGGCTCTCTTACAGGTCTGCATATCCCCTCGTTCTCCAGGAACCTAGTTGGTGTCGGCTGCCTCCAGGACCTTGGCGTCACCACTACGTTCCCTTGTCACGAGCGGTATGATGTCTGTACGGAGGCTGCCACTGGTGCCCCCCTGTCCACGTTCCCCCGAGACCCGGTGTCCAGCCTGTTCACCCTGGACACCGTGACCCCCCCGAGCTGGGGCGCCCCTTCAGATGGCTGCGTCTACACAGGTTGTTGCTGCCTGCTCCTATCGGTCCCTCACTCACCCGACTCTCCTTTGGCACCACCGCCTAGGTCACCCTGCGCTCCCGCGTCTGCGTCACATGTCCCAGCACGGTCTCGTCCTTGGTCTCCCTGGTTCGTTCCCCGCTTTTCCCTCCTCCCCCACCCCTCCTTGCACGCCTTGTGTTGAGGGTCGGCTTCGCCGTGCCCCTCACTCCTCCTCGTTTCCCCCTACCGCCGCGCCGCTGCAGACCCTGCACGTGGACGTCTAGGGCCCCGCCCCCGTCCATGGGCCGCGTCGAGAGCGCTACTACCTCCTGCTTGTCGACGACTTCACTCGCTACACCACAGTCTTCCCCCTGGAGCGCAAGGCCGACGTGCCTGACGCTCTCATCCCCTGGCTTGTCTCTGCCCGTGTCCACCGAGGTCTCCCTGTCCTGCGTCTTCACTCCGACCGTGGTGGCGAGTTTGCCTCAGGTGTCCTTGGTCGCTTCTGTTGTGCGGAGGGCATCACCCAGACGTTCACCCTGCCGGACTCCCCACAACAAAATGGGGTCGCTGAGCGACGCATCGGTTTGGTCATGGAGGTGGCTCGCACCTCCATGATCCATGCCGGTGCACCCCATTTTCAGTGGCCGTTCGCCATGCGCTACGCTGCTCACCAGCTTAACCTGTGGCCGCACCCCCAGCGGCCGCAGGTTTCGCCGACCCTTCTTTGGACCGGGTCTCCTGGTGACGCGTCTGCGTTCCACGTCTGGGGCTGCCTTGCTCACGTTCGTGCCTCTGGCACGGACAAGCTCACTGCTCGCACCCTTCCCTGCGTCTTCCTAGGTTTCCCCCTTAACGCGTCCGACTGGCACTTCTACCACCCGCCGTCACACCGGTTCTTTGACTCTCGCGACGTCACCTTTGACGAGTCCGTCTCCTTCTACCGTCGCTTCCCCCACCGCGATCCCCCGGTTACTCCCCCCCTGTTCCTGGTCACTCCTTCCCTGGTGGTCCCTGCCCCCCCCCCTCCCCCTCCCCGTCTTGCCCCCTCTGGTGTGTCCCATGTCACCCCTCTCTCGTCAGTTGTCCCGGTTGAGGAGTCCTCTGACTCTGGTGGTCTTGCGGCGCAGTCCTTGCCGTCTGCCCCTCCCCCGGTGTCTCCTCCCCCACAGCCTCTGCAGCCGCCGTCGCCCCTGCTGTCGCAGCCGTCGTCTCCGCTGCCGTCGCCGCCACACCCGTCGTTCCCGCCGCCACCGCCGCCGCCATTGCAGCAGCAGTTCGTCGACTCTGGGGGTGCCCGCATTGGGGTTGGTGCTCGTTCTGGGGTTCCTGTTGTGGCCTGCTCCGGTGGCCCTGGGGGTGGTACTTGTGCTCGGAGGGTTTTGGGCTCTGGGGGTGTTCCTTCTGGGGGTGCCGAAGTGGAGTGTCCCAGAGGTAGCCGAGGAGCAGCTTGCGGTCTCGGTGTTGGTGTTGTGCCGCCGCAGCAGCAGTCCCCGCCGGTGTCAGCCCTTTGCCTGCTCGGCCTTCCGTCCCCTGACACTGCGTCCGTTCCTCTCCTGCCGTCTCCTCCTCTTCCTGTCTACGGCCCTGTGTTCCCTCCGCCGGACTCGTCACCGGCTCGTCTTCCCCCTCGCTCCCCCCTTGTGTCCCCTACTCTGTCTCCTGACCTGACGCCTCCGTCTCACGTCTGGTCCCGCCGTCCCTCCCGCACTCGTCCTGTTTCCCCTGTCGCGCGCTCTCACCCTATGTTGCTCCATTCCCACGCGTCTCATCCTCCCCTTCTACCGTCGCCTTCTCCGTCCTCACTTACCGTTGCGCCTTTTCCTCTGTCTGACTACCTTCGTGCCGCTCGTCCTCTTGTTCCTCGGGTCCTCGCCTCTCTCGTTACCGACCCGTCTGTTCCGGTCTCGTGTCTTGAAGCCCTTGTCGCTACGGTCGCTGACTTCGCCTCTACCCGTCGCCTTGACTACGCCACCGCTCTGGTCTCTGACCCTGCCTGTCCTCCGTCTGTTGGGGGTGCTCCTGCCCTCGGCAGTGACGTCATGGAGGACCGCCAGTTCGAGCTTGCTTTCCTGTCCGAGGCCGCTCCCCATCTCTGTTCCATGCTGCTAGTTCCTGAGGGTGACCCAAACGCTTTCGACATCCCGACCCCTCGCACTTACGCTGAGGCGACCTCGGGACCCTGGGCCTCTCAGTGGATAGCTGCCATGGAGCAGGAGATGGCATCTTGGAGATCCACCGGCACCTTCGTCAACGCAGTAGCCCCGCCTGGGGTGAACGTAGTCGATGGCCACTGGCTCTTCAAGGTGAAGCGCCCTCCTGGAGAGCCGCCTGTGTTCAAGGCGCGCTACATGGCTAGAGGCTTCAGTCAGCGTGAGGGGGTGGACTTCTTCCAGACCTTTGCTCCGACCCCAAAGATGACTAC